TGTACGTTAACGGTTTTCTTCTTCTTAAAATATTAAAATAATAATTTCTCTATCAATTTAAATTTTTCTCTAAAATTAGAGATTTTTATAACATGTATTCTCTTTTCTCTACTTTAACGTAGAATACATCAATTTCCAGAATTAAAATATTAAAAATGCTCTAATTCTCGTTTCTCTCGTTCAACTTTCCAATTTCCAGAATGAATCCCAATTTCTTCACAGCTAACCATTCCCTCAGATATTTCGGTTGTCCATATTCAGTATTTTGCTAACTTTGGAACACCTCAAGGGAAATGTGGAAGTTTCAGTGATGGTGAATGCCGGAGTACTTACGCCCTTTCGATCCTACAAAAAGTCAACTCTTTTGATGTTCACTGCATTCGTGTGCATGTGCGTGTGTTTAAATGAACCATTTCATCATACGATTGCTAAACATTACAGGCGTGCATTGGGTCAAGAACTTGCAACATTGAAGTCTCGACAGCCACGTTTGGTGATCCTTGTATAGGTGTAGTTAAAAGTTTAGCAGTAGAAGCTTCGTGTGCATAAAAAGCACGAAAACATGGCTCTTAAGGTTATCGATGTCTCCGGTGTTAGAAATTTCTGGTTTTTCAATTGCTTGTAATTCACTGAAAGTCGTAAATCACTTTCAGAATGAAGTATTTTGACGGTACAATCGATATCTCAATCGGATAAAATTCAGTGGTTAACAGAACTGAGAATCCAAAACGCTATGAATCTGTGTACCTCCCATGACGAAAAAATGACCAACGCAAAAATTGAATACGGAAACTGTCAAAAACGACACTTTTTTTAACCCTAAACCAGGTTTAAAAAACCGGGTTTAAAATTTAAAATTCGGATTTCTAATGCATTTTTCGACCTCAGCCAGAGGCTGCCGCCCCTTGGACCCCGCCACCGGGGCGCTGCCCCCGAACCCCCGTCGTTTAGGGGCTTCGCCCATAAATCAAAATAAACTCAAACAAGCATGCACTCCGCACCTTCCTTACTTGTTCGATATTTATCATGATTACATGGGTCAACAAATTAATCATATTACACTTAAATGATATTAGTGATACAAATCATCAACTTCCGGGCAACCATATAATCCTTAGAATAAAACCATTTTAATTGCATAATAATCAATTTCATGAGGCTTTATTCCCCTTATTAACACATTCCAATAGAGATCATCAAAACATGAGATTACGAAACTAGAATAATTGGTCAGTATTGAGATATACCAACAGCGATAGCAGCAGCAGCAACAGTCTCAGATTGTCTTTGAAACCTGCAAACTTTGCAAAGTGGGGAGGTTAGAGATGGAGTTTCATACTTGTCCTCCCCACCCATCATTGGCATGGCGATTCCTCTCTTCACCGGACTCACATACCCCGGCCGGTAAGTTTTCCCCAGAATGCCCTCCACATCGTCGGAAAGATTTGAGAACCTGAACTGTGTCTCGAAGTGGGCAAATGCGTCGTTAAATGGTAACTGGTAGTTGTGGGCTTTGTCATCTTCTTTAGTTATAGGGACAGCCTTCATGTCGATCTCTACAAACCCACCGACAGTAACTCTCACGGTGTTAGTGTCGTCGGTCCTCTCAACCACCACTTCTCTTACTCCGGTGGTAGTTTTCCATTCGGCATTTCCTTCAGATGGTATGGTGACTTCTTGGCCGTCCCATTTCATGAGAAGTACGTCAACGGAGTCGTCCCATTTTGGGACCTTCTTGGCTGCAAGGACGAGGGTGTGGGTGTCAAACATGACTGACACGGATTGAACCCATGTGTAGTCACGCTTCCTACCGATGGGTCGGTTTCCGATGAAGTGGGCGTTGATTTGGAGGTTGGTATCTGAGACGAGGGCGAAATCACGTCCTTTACTGCCATGGAAGTAGAACATCACTCCATCACCACCTACGAACCTTGGATCATAACATAAAGAACCATACCCATTACATTTCGGCCTTCTCCCTGCGAAAATTAGAACTCGAGTTTGTTAAACAACAATATATAAGATTAGGTATTCAAAGAAACATTTGGTCGAAGAGGTTGTATGCTTACATTTGCAAGTAGCTTCACACTTGCTACCACAATTGATATGGCACCCTTTGTTCTTCTTGTTCTTCTTGGGCTTCCTTTGGGGGCACTCCGCTGGACAAGTTAGTGTCTTGTAGTGACACTCCCCTTTCGATTTACAAAAAGCCCGTTCGCATCCTGATTTTGGGTCTGGTGTCAAATCGTCGTAGTTAGTGGCATCGTCTTCAACGGGAGAAGGCTTCGGCTTCACCTCTTTAGGCGCCGGCGCTGGTTTCTCCTTAGGGGCCGGTGGTTTCTGCTCCTTAGGTGCTGGTGCCGGAGTCTTCTTACTGTCGTCATCCTTTTTTGCTGGTGGTTTCTGCTCCTTAGGTGCTGCTACTGGTGCCGGAGACTTCTTACTGTCGTCATCCGTTTTTGCTGGTGGGGTCTGTTCCTTAGGTGCTGCTACTGGTGCCGGAGACTTCTTACTGTTGTCGTCGCCATGATCTTTATCGTCTTCAGCTCGAACAACGGTAGCCCCAATGGTGATTAATAGGAGTAGGAAAGCCACCAAAATGAATGACTTCCCCATATTCAAAATCTTGGTAGCTTAATTACTTGTTGTTGGTATGAAGAAGGATGAATGGGATGGTTTGGTTGAAAAGACAGGGAGAAGCCATTTATAGGGGAATAAAGGAGGTGATGATAGCATGCATGGAGTTCGCAGTAATCCATGTTTACCTGGTTTGCCTTCTATTCTAAAAAGAAACTTGCAACCATGATGACCATACGTTTCCCTGTACCCGCTTTTTTAAATATAAATTCTCCCCTCTTAATTTATATTCATCTATACTATATTATAAAGCATTTCAAAAAAAAAATTAAAATCCAATTTTCATACATAAAATATTGTTTATTAACGTCAATTTCTTTCACCGCTCACGATTCCCTCAGATATTTCAATCGTCCATATTCAGTATTTTGTGAAAACTATATGTATAATGTTATATTCTTGTATTTTATTTTAAGTTAGAAATGATAGTATATATTTGTATAAGCAGCATAACTTCTGATTTTATCTACAATTTTATTTTCTTAACAATTTTTTAGACTCGTGAAGTTATATGTAAGCCCAAGCCTTTTATATAACAAATTAGGGTTCTTGATCTTGATCGTGGATGATGAAGTTAAAATCGGGGAGGCCAAGGTGGGGATGAAAATAATGGGTAAATTGACTAAGGTGCCCTCACGTGAGGGACATATGAAGAGACCTAACGGTATTAAGTTGAGGGACCATAGCTGTCAATATTAAATAACAAATAATTAACCATAATGGTGGTGTCTGATTGGTTGAGCTTGACTCCGAAGGTCAAAAGTACCAGGAGATCCCAAGTTCAAATCCAAAGAGAAATAAAAATCTTCTTATGGCCACGGAGGGTCAAATGCGATGATTTCGGGTTATCTGCAAAGCAGATGGTCGCCTTGGAATTAGTCAGCCCGCATAACGGGTTGAATATCTAGGTTAATAAAAAAAATAACAAATAATTTAAAAACCAAAAGATAGTTATAAAACAGAAATAAATTTATATTTTATTAATAAATTAACAATTCCACAATTATTAGTCGTGACATTTTAATCAAGAACAGGTGCATGAAATTATCACTCTATTTGGTACGTACGATGGAACCTTCTAAATTAGAAGTCGGCGGCCAAACCAGTTGCAGGTTGTTTCTGGAAGATGCAGGTTTTGCAAAGAGTTGAAGTTAAGGATTTAGTTTCGTACTTATCTTCTCCACCCATCATCGGCATCGCCACCCCTCTCTTCACCGGACTCACATACCCCGGCCGGTAAGTTTTCCCCAAAATACCCTCCACTTCCTCCGAAAGATTCGAGAACCTGAACTGTGTCTCGAAGTGGGCAAATGCGTCATTTGATGGTATCTGGTAATTATGAGCTTTATCATCTTCTTTAGTTATAGGAACAGCCTTCATGTCGATCTCCACCAACCCACCAATGGTAACTCTCACGGTGTTGGTGTCGTCGGTTCTTTCAACCACCACTTCTCTTTCTTCGGTGATCGTTTTCCATTCCGCTTCTCCGTCGAATGGGACGGTGACTTCTTGGCCGTCGTATTTCACGAGAAGTACGTCAACGGAGTCGTCCCATTTTTGTACCTTCTTGGCTGCAATGATTAGGGTGTGGGTGTCGAACATGACTGCTAAAGATTGGACCCATGTATAGTCACGTGTTCTTCCGGTGGGGCGGTTTCCGATGAAGTGGGCGTTGATTTGGAGGTTGGTGTCGGAGACGAGAGCGAAGTCACGGCCTTTACCGCCATGGAAGTAGAACATAACTCCATCACCACCAACAAACCTTGGATCATAACATAAAGAGCCATACCCATTACATTTTCCTCTTCTCCCTGGCGAAATCATAAAAAGAAACGTTAAATTAGGTTAATTCGTTGAACTGCAATTCGAAGAGACATTTGGTCGAACAGGTTGTGTGAATGCTTACATTTGCAAGTAGCTTCACATTTGCTACCACAATGGATGAAGCACCCTTTTTGCTTCTTGTTCTTCTTGGGCTTTCTCTCTGGACATTCAGCTGGACAAGTGAGTGTTTTGTAGTAACAATCTCCTTGCGATTTACAAAAAGCTCGTTGTCTTCCTGTTTCAGGTTCCGGTGACAAAACATCGTAGTTAGTGGCATCGGCTTCGGTGGGTTTAGGCTTTGGTTTCTCCTCCTTATCGTCGTCGGCAGCTCGAACAATGGCGGGTTGAATGGAGATGCAAACGAGAAGAAAAGCCATCAAAAGAATTGATTTCTTCCCCATATCGAAAGCTCTGTGTGTTTTGTCGTCCGTTGGTATCTTTGTTTGAAGGATTAAACAGAAGATGAAGTGGATGGTTTTGTGGAGAAGAAGAAGCAGCCATTTATAGAGTGGTAAAGCTGGTCTAGTTGGCTAGCTAATAAGCCACAGAGTTCGGCTTACGGTACGCCCTCCACCCACCTGCAGGAAAACTACAATATTCCACTTTTTCTTTTAATAATCCTTGAAAATTAATTCAAATCATCATTTATTAGTGGATCCGTAATCTTAAAATTACCTATAAATGCATTTTATATGGTTAATAATAATGTTTATTAAACCGGCCACGCCACTATCCTTACCAACATAACCATAGCCACTAATTTGGAAAGACCTAAAACCGCAAAAAAAAAAAAAAAAATTCTCCTCGTGGCCACGAAGGTTCAAATGCGGTGACTCCAGACTATCTGTAAAGCARGTGGTCATCCTAGGATTAGTCGGCTCGCATAGCGGGTTAGATATCTAGGTTAATTAAAAAAAAAACCTAAAACCGCAAAAAAGAGACAACGAAGCCTTAAACAGGTTGTACAACATCAGATGAACCACGATTGAAGACCCTGAAAGACGAGAGTAGTTGTACTTGAAACCGCACATTCTGGTTCGGGACACGGAAGCTGCAAAGACCTGTTTGTTCCTCGAGCAACAGATCATGTACAAAGCTAAATTTACCTTAATAAAGAATGTACCTAAAATTTTATATTTAAATTTATTTTTTCATGGAATAAAATGAATGTGGTTGACATTTTGGAAAAACGTAGGGTGTGGTTTGCTTAAGCTTCAATTGCGGGTGGCACATCTTTTGCTATTTAGCATTCTCTCATTTACAGATGGTGTGGCCCCGGATATATAGCTCCATTCCTCACACTCCAACTCCCACTTGTTATAATTCATATTAAACTACATCTTAAAAACCATTTTTATGTATCAAATACGGTTTATTAATATATATTATTTAAAATTTAAGATTACAAGTAATTGTACATAAGTACAACTTGTTAAAACTTCATTTTAGATTCGTGTAAATAGATGTAGATAAACGTAATCAAATACATGATAAATATCTCATTTTAAATATAAAAAATCTAAAATATAATTATGATAATCATTGAGTTTTGACAGAATACTTAATTATTATTTTGATAAAGTTATATTATTAAACCGAAAATAAATTATTTTGTGATTAGATCTAAATTAAATTATAATAAAAAAATTGAATTAAAGAAATAATACATAAAACACAAACTTTTAAATCGTTAATTTGATACTCATATCGATATATAATTTTTCAAACTTTTATGAGATAGTCAAAACTCAAAAGTGCCTGGAGGTCTCAGGTTTAAATCCAAGGAGGAATAAAAATCATCTTGTGGCCACGAAGGTTCAAATGCGGTGACTCCAGACTATCTGCAAAGCAGGTGGTCGCCCTGGGATTAGTTGGCTCGCATAGCTGGTTGGATATCTAGGTTAAGAAAAAAATTATATTTTGATTCAAAAATATAAAACATTATCGTTTTATCAAACTCATAAAACTGTGTTACAATACTAACAAAGACAAAAAATAAAACGAAACATTAAAATCAAGATGTATCGCGTTGTATTGCGCGACTACCCTTCTAGTAGTTTTCAAATTACAAGATGATTATCGTCGTTCACTTGGATTTGATCCATTCTTCTAACGGCAGTAAAAATTTCGTTAAAAGAGAAGCATTTTTTTAATTTTTTACTCCATCAAAATCCGTTTTATGATTTTGGTCTCTGTGATTTTTGATTGGATAAAAAATAGTTAATAGAAGGACAAAAATGTCCCTCGTTTAACATAAATTTTTAACAATTACGGGATCAAATTTGAACGTTTTTACAAACCATAATATTATCGTGTAATTTTAAAATTTCATTACGTTATTTATAATCATAGGAACCAAATTTATAGCTTACTCTTTAATTAATTAATTATATATTCATTAAAAGACGAATAGACTTGGTCAATTTCTTTAGCTTCATCCATACCCCGGTTCAAGTACTCGGTTGCTTCCTCGTGTCCATTACATCATCTACCATCCACAGTCTCAACAGCAATCTTAATTGTTCTCTTAACTGGTAAGACGTAAACTAGCCTTTTATTTGTCTCTTATTGTTCTCCAAACTCTTAGTAACGACATTTTTCAATCGATTAACCTTAATCGATCATTTATTTCAATTGATCCTTGCCAGATCGGTCTTGTATTTTAATAGGATTTAAATGTGTCAAATACCGTCAATTGCAATGACATGTTTTCGTTTAAATGAATGTTAGTTATATAATTTAGATGTAAATTTCGTAGTAATGATGAATAAATATGTGAAATTGTATAAATTTATTTATAAATTCAACAATGTAATTTTCTATATGGGTAAAATAGATAACTTAAACAAATTCAGACGTTTATTATTTTACAAAAAACAAACAGTTTTATTGATTCATATTTTAAACTTCAGCAATCAGCACCATCTTTTTATCAATCAGAAATTAAATAAGACTTCAGCACCTCTTAAAAAACAAACGTCACGTAGACAATATCAGTTTATATTATACATATAATATATGTACTTATAGTAAGTTATGTTACACATCATATCATTTGACATTATGCAAACCTATACTTACTATCTTATAAAAACATTTGGGTTAAATTCTTAAAAATCATTCCAATGCATCAAGTATTATTTAATGATACATATTACTTGCAATTCAAGACTACAAGTAAATGGTGTATGTGTACAACTTTATAAAGTTATATGTTTGAATTCATATAACGAACTGATAAACATAATCAAATAGAGGATAAACATTTCATTTAAAATATAAATAATGTAAAATATAATTAGAATAATCATTGAATTCTAACATAATAATCAATCATTATATTTATAAAAACAATTACTTAAAATTCAAGATTACAAGTAAAAGGTATACGGATACAATTTTTTAAAGCTATATATTTGAATTCATATAACTAACTAATAAACATAACCAAATACTATAAAATGTCTAAACTGTAATTAGGATAATTATTAACTTCTAACAGAATACTTTATTATTGTCTTTATAAAAAAATTATACTATTAAAATAAAATAAATTAATTTGTTATTAAACATAAATTAAATTATAAAAAATGAATTGACAATAATCTTTATACAAAGACGTTATATTATTAAAACTAAAACAAATTGCTTTGTTATTAAACCTAAATTAAATTATAATATAAAATTGAACTAAAAAAAGTATACAAAAAAATAACTTTTAAATTGTTAATATGATACTAAATATCGATATAAATTTTTATAGGGTTTTCGAATTTATATTTTATTAAAATGTAAAAACATTATCGTTTCTCAAAACTGTATTATAAAATCGACAGATACAAATAATAAAGAAAACATTAAAATCAATACATATCTCGCTGCATTGCACGAGTACGGTTCTAATATATATTCATTAGGTCAGTGTTAAGCTATCGAATGGAAAGATTTTTTTTTTATTAACCTGAATATCCAATCCGCTATGCGAATCGACTAATCACAGAACAACCACCTTCTTTGCAGATAAGCCAGAGTCACCGCATTTGAACCTCCGTGGCCACAAGAGGATTTTTATTCCTTCTTGGATTTGAACCTGGGATCTCCAGGTACTTTTGACCTTTAGAGCAAAGCTCAAACCAATCAGACACCACCTTTGTGGTTAGAATGGAGAGATTTTTGACCTCCATTTCCAACATTCACTTCTTAAATCGGATTTGATAGCGATTCTTCTTCTTGGTACGGTTGAGAAGGGTTGGAGAGTCGAGTTTGATTGATTGCAATGGTTAGTGGTATCATAAGGTATGGTTTGACATAGAGGTACAAAATTCATAGGATTTGGTTTGACACTGATGACGTCCACGATGTGTTAATTGGATATCATCTGTCTAGCAACGGTCATATAAAACCTAACCAAATGAACCTTTTATTAACAACTGTTACAATGTATCTGTATGATGAAATGTGAATTACGGAAATTTCTTATTTGTCATGTTAAAGGGTGTATATCTAATTATTAATTTTATTTATAAAATTATGTTTTACGTATATATCAGATACTACCACTATCTTTATAAATTTCCTAAATGTTGTCTTTACTAAGAATAAACAGTTCAGATGTTAACCGATAGTTATTTAATTATGTGTTATTTAAACAATGTACAGTATTAAAAGACATTATGCACCTATTTTCAAATATTTTAAAATGTCCTTTTAATTTTTTATAGTACAAAGACAATGACACAATTTATTATTGGAATACATATAATTAGATAACATTAGTTTTAGAGTTAGGGTTTTCGCAAGAATAAGAATTAAGGTGAGAAGCGTAAGAAATGATCTCCACATTAAGATGAGATGCACCAAGATGTATTAGATCAATCCCCATATCAAATGCGATTATAGATGGATGAGTTTTGAGATTAAAAGTAATCAAAGATCTAAATCCCTTGTTACGTTTTTTATCTTAACTTTTTTTTTCATACTATACTTCAGATTTAATTTTAACCATTACAATATGCCCAAACGGCCCCAATTCTTACCCTGCATGATACCCGTACGTGTAATTTGAGTCAAATACCCATCATTGAAATATAATACTGATATGAGTTGGCAGTCTTGGTAAGGTTGGGACATTTTCTGTTTTATATTACTTATGAAAAGATAATATATCTGTAAATTTTTATAATGTTCATAATACATGTTACATAGAAATACTGTCAATGAGTATGTAAATCTACAAGGTCATATACAAAAAAAATATGTTTGCCTCTATTTTCAGAATCTCGAATCATGTGGATTGTTAAAATAAAGCTTTATAACAGAGTCTTCTTAATTTAAGAAGTATGAGTAACACCAGTTACTTTTTCAAAATGTCACGTATGTTTTATTTAAATTAAAATGTTCAAATATCTTTAATAGTATACGCAAATATATACAATAACTCAACAAATTAAAGAACTGTTACATAGCGGTTAAGTTCCGATAAGAAAAAAAGTTATGTGAGAAGCATAAGAAAAAATATAGATTCTATAGATCAATCATAATTGAATATCAATACTAATAAGTGCATCGAGATGCACTAGATCAATTCCCTTCTAAAGTACAATTCATAGATGAGCATGCGATTAAAAATAATAAAGGGTTAAAATCTTTTCTTACGTTTATCGTCATAACTTTTATTTTCGCATGATTATTCATTTATTACATGATACATAAAAAAAAATAACTTGCTATAAAAAGAAGTCCCTTTTAGTAACTACCGATCTAATTGGGCTTTGAATCGAACTCACCAAGTGCGGGCCTTTTAGAAACCTTGTTGGACAGGCCCAAGACCAATTTCAACTTTCAAGTTTAGGTTCGTATGTTCATATTTAGTCGTAAGTTATCGTCTACGTTTACCAACACGAGATATATACTTATACAACATCAATTAGAAATGTCGGCCCGAGACCCGCAGAGAACGACTTGGGACCGGACTAACCCGGAACTGATTGGAACCGGGAACAGGCTGAGGGTCCTTAACCGATTATGATGTTTAAGGAAATTTCCCGGCTCGGGACTAGTTATGGGACCATGACTGGGACCGGTTATACATAGGCCCGCTTTTTTTAAAAAAATAAGTTTTTATAAATTATATATCTAGTTTTTCAATATTTCTACAAGATTTTCATGTTCTTATACTAAAATCTTCAAGTTTTTTTTACGTTTTTCAAGTTTTTATAAGTGTTCCAAATTTTCAATACAAAATCTCAAAAATCGTAACTATAAAACATCTATAAATTTTCAAGTTTTTGTAAGTGTGATTGAACACTCAATTAGGATTTTAAAGTGCGTTCTAATAAGATGTTGCTTAAAAAGGAAAATCTTCAAACAACATCTTTTTAGGTTCAAAATTGACTTTCAAGCGAAAAAATTTAGGACCGATTTGGGTCCAGCATGAGACCAGTTACAAAGTATGGAGAACGGGCCTTAGTATTTTGGTCAGACCGGGACTGGTTATGTTAGAATCAGTTACGGAAAAAGGTAAATTGGGACCAAGGCCGATTTGGGTCCGACCCTCAACCAGTTTTTGACGATCTCTAATACCAATGTAATCTTGATTTGAATAACTAATTTTAAAGTGACATATGGTACCAGAAGAATCAGTCTTTTGTCATTCAATCAATTTTGACTCAAAGATCGAAGCTTTTTCCAATGTACTTTACAAAATCAAACAAATTCTCAACCACGACGTTCCATTTCAATTGATATTGATCCAAATAGATTTTCACAAAAATTCGCGATTATATGAATATTTATCTTACAAGTTAAAAAAACTAAAACCGTGCGATATTTATTATTACAAACTTAAAATAATGATCCAACACCGTCAAATTATGAAATTGTTGTTTTGAAAAAACCTCAAAAAAACCAGATACACGAAGATACAAATCGTACCATCCCTGCATTGACAGGTAAGATAAAAAGATGAGATATCTGTCATTTGTTTATGATAATCAACTGATAGCATTTACAGATAAGACATGGACTCGAATATGTCTTATTTGTCACGAATTTATTCCTTATCTTTCTATTGAATTTGATGCTACACGATATTGATTCGAATGTTACATGTCAAGTTGTCATATGGAACTGAAAGAATATTGTTCACGCCACGATTTATTTATTTTCAAGATTTATGATATATTTGATCATAGTGGTTACACTCGCTAACCTTTCAACTATTCAAAATAATTATAACATTTTACTTGATATATAATTATAAAAAAGGTATCGATTAACTTCATATGAAAAAAATAAAGAGATATTATAAAGTCAAATCAAGATATCTTTTTGTTATGTAAAGGCGAAGACTCTGAAGTGGCGAACACTCGGCCCAGCGGGCGAACATGCCGGGCTCCGGCTCCACGCACCTGCTGACACCTTTCGAAACACTTTCTAGTGTGCGCTTTAGTTTTCGAATGTAAACGAACCTGACTTGAAAACTTTTTTAGTTCGCATTTCCTGGAGAAAATAATATAGGACAACTTAATTTTCATAAAACAAACTTGACAATGATTTTATGTTGGATTGTCCTATTGACTTTTCATTAAGTCATGCATAAATAGAATTATCTGTGTAAATTAGTCTGTCTATATATATTGAAAAAAGTTATTGCTTGTAGAAGTTTTTCGTAAATTGAGTGAGTGTATAACTTTAATTGAGAGAGAGATGTTTGAAAAAAACTCGACTTTCTTAATAAAGCTCCCTTTCTAGAAAATTACTGAATAAGCTGTTTTCTATATCATTAAGTCACTATCAAACAATTATATATAACTACCCGCGTAATAGGGGTGTGCATCGGATGGGTCGGGCGGGTTTGGGTGGGAAAATAAAAAACCTGACTGAATCTCGTATGTGGAAATCAAGCCCCGATTTTTGGATTTCGGATTTTTTCGAGTTCAGGTTGGTCGGGTTTCGGGTTTAGTTATAATGCAAAAAATATATATACAATCGATTTAGAGGATTGATAAATCAATAGTATGTTTAGAAATTAGAAAAAAAAAACACGACCGATCAAGATTTTTAGGATTTTCAAAAGATAATTAGATAAATAAGTATATTTATATAGTATTTAAAATATATATGTATTTATATTTCGGGTTTTCAGATGGATCGTGTGGCCAAAAATCAAACCCAACCAGAACCTGGATTTTCCCCAAAAAGTTGGATTTCAAGCATTCGAATTTTACATAATTACTTGCTTTCGGTTCGGGTTTCGGATAATTCAGGTTTTACTCATTCCTATGAAGCTTATTAAACTGCTAACGAACAAATATTTAGATAACATAATATTTTATTTTATTTTATTTTAAAATTTAAATATGATTTTAAGTATTTATTTATTAACAATATCAATTGTATATTCTTAACCATAAAAAGCAAAGAAACGAAGGGGTGAAATAAAAAGCTGCTGCGTTGAGAGAGACATGAGAGCCAACGGTCCAAACCCTAATCAATTCCAAAGTAAATGACCAAAACACCCCTGGCCATCTTCATCATCAAGGTTCCACAAGTAACAAAGGTGTTGCTGTTCCTCCGCACGCAGGAGAAAACTCTCCCCCACGCGCACCCAACGCGCCACCCTAGATTTGCGTTTCAACGGCGGATTCATCGGAAAACTTTCACTACTGCTTCTACTTCATCAACAATCGATCAATTTCCCGTAGTTCGACGTAATTCGATTATGTTTGCGTCTCTTGCCCTAATTTTGCTTTCGTCATTCCAGGGTAATAATTCATGCCATGACGTTATTCTCGTATTTGTTATATTAGTATTATAATTAATAATGATATAGAGCTGTCTGAAACTTCTATGTGCAACTTGTCTTAATAATTAATCTCCCGATTGCTTTTTATTCCTTCTCTCCTAACCGTCCATGATTGTATAATTTTTTTTTTCTATATGTTTTTTCAATTTGGTTGTTTTGCTGAAGGATAAAGGAAAGGTCCCAAGGTATCGTCTTGGTGGAGCCAGGCCTGCAAAATTTGGTGTGGGCTGCTGTCTTTATCAAGGAAGCTGGAGAGCTGCTCTTGAGAGATGTTGTTGGCTTTGAATCGGAATGGGGTTTATTTGATCAACTGCATCTTTCATTTTTCTGAATGGCATCCTTTGGAATTCAGCCAAAAATCTGATTAGCTAGGGTTTAATCGCCCCCTTAATCTTTGTAGCAGGTAAGCACATTTAAATTAAACCCTGGTTTTGTCTATTCTGCAATTTGATATGCAGCAGTTCCAGCGAAAAAAAGCTATATAATTTGGCTGGATGTGAAAACAAGTGTTTTTCAAATGCGAAGATGATATGGCTACCATATTTAAGGCCAATATTAATCTAATTTAGCACTCAGACAAAGTTTCATGTAACTGTAAAAGCATTTATCCCAAGGTTTAATAATCATATTCATTTGAAGTTGAATTAAGCCCATTTGATTCTCATTTGGAAAGTCAAATCTTTTTTCCTGGAACATAGGAAGCACTTAGGTCGGGACTCGGGAGTATTTGAGGCATCATTGGCTGTTGCATGGTTGTTTAACTTGAGTTTTATTTTATTTGTTGGACAGGTTTGGTTCTAATTAAGCTGGTCAATTGTTGCTCTAGATTGTTAAAGTTAATACAGTACTGGGAAGATCAAGTATCTATGTTTATTAAAGGATACTCTATTGCAAGTGTGGCAGAAATGGGCTGTTGTGGTTGCTTTGGGTTTTCATTTGCAAAAAAGCAAAAGAAGACTAGGCCGAGGATGCACTATGGGAATCACATTTCACAGGAGTTATTGCTAAATGACGAAGTAGAAGAGGAGGAGGAGGAGGAAGAAGAAGAAGAAGAAGATAATTGCTCATATGGTGAGGACATGTCCGATACTGAAAAGGGAGATCATGAGGAGTTCAGGAACCCAGCAAAGCGCTCCGAAGAGATTCTTTTGTACAGGACGCAGAACGGATTGATTTGCAGGGAATTCCCTGTCAAGGAAACACACAAAGTTGTCCGGTCAGAGGTAACTTGAATGAACAATGGTTGTATGTTCTGCTTGCTTATTAAACAGAGTCAGGAATGGCTGGAAGATCCCCTTGATACTTAATATAGGCATTCAATTTCACTTCTATAGAGGTTAGGCATGGTTATAAGGTTCTAATCTTGCTGCTTCTGGGAAATTTTTATAGGAAGTCATGTAATAGCTAGGTTATTTAGGCCAACTATAACCATAGTCGATAACAGCACCCACTTCACCCAAAGGTCCCAAACATTGAAATCCCAAAAATGCGTGTTTGCCTATGTAATTAAATAATTTTAGAAGCTCTAGGTACAATCTTTGTCTGGGTAAAGTTCTCAAAACATTCAAAGACATCTCTTTTCGAGTGCCACAACATTGTTTTTGGTGTCTTTTTCATGTTCTAGGTATATACAAATACTTCATGTTTGGAAATCTGGAACTACCTTTTTTTAAGACGTTGATAATGGAATAGCCTATCATATGTGGTGGTGACTAGTTGATGACATGATGTGCTTTGCTTGCTTCCTCCTTTTGTCCACTAGTGCATTTGTTTCAGAATGGCCTCCGGAATGAGAAAGAAAAACTTGGTTACGGTACCCAAGGTTAGGCCAACTACTTTAGTGTAGCTACACCTAAAAAAGTGCTTCTCCTTGCTAAGGTGACCATTTCCGAACCTGTATATGTTGGCCCCTTTCACGCTGTAGTAACATCTGGGGCTAGGATCCCAAATAGACCTAATGGGAAAGCGTGTGTGCAATTTCAGGAAGGCCTACTACTGCACACAAATTAGAGAGTCATGATGATATTACTGAGAAACATTTTTATCAGAAACTTTTTGCATGCTGACACCAAGGCTACTGCAAACCAATCTTCACAAAGCCTAACCTGACAGAAAGCTGCTCCCGTTCTCCTTTTGGTCTTTGTTGGATGGGTGAATGGTGTTCTTTGTTGTTTTATTGCTCTTATTTCAGATGTTTAGAAAGAAGAAGCTAATGGTGTAAGCAAATAGACCATCAAATATATTAGTTTTGAAATGATGAATCGTATATGGCAAGTCTAAAGGTGTGAAGTGTCTAATGCAGTATTTTTCTATTCTCTTTGTGCTACAACCACTATTGTCCCTTTGTTCTGTAGCCTCCATTATTTGAAAGCTCGATAACAAAATATTATATCTTCATGAACATTTTGCTCCTCTAAGAGTTCACTATAAATAGTTTCACTTGAATTGCTTTCCATTTTCTTTTCCGTGACTGTATAACCATTGTTTATACTAATCAAAAGTCACCACATATATGTAGAAGTATATATAGACGACCCTCTGGGTAGCATGGTTAGCTAAGAGTGTGCTTGATAAAGATTCTAGTGGTAGTACCATTTTCCTGTAGCAGATTCTATGATTACCCATTTAAGTGGAGCGTAAGTACAAAGACGCTGTTCTGGTAATGGGAAGCTTTTGTATACATTTGTAGTCTGATCATGCTAGGCTTTTATAAACTTTTCTAGCCTGATAATGCTAAGCTTTGATATACATTTTAAGCCTGATAATGCTAAGCTTTTCTATACCTTTAATCTACCAGAGAGTCAGCTTAATTTTTTGTTTTTTGCTTTTGATCCTCCCACTAGCATCTCTTACATCAACAATGTTCACTTTTGTGATGTAAGGCTGTTAAACAATGTTAGTGCACTTGATCTTTTCAAGGAGACAGGATGTCATGTTTTTAGTTACCATCCTGCTCTGAATTTCTCACAACCATATGTATGTCATGTTAACCAGCTCTTGATTCGGACTTATATTGGTTCTGCGTTTTTTGCTTTAGGATGAGGATGGGAACAAGATGGTTAATGAGTATGTTCGTGAGTATAAAATTGGCTCTGGCAGCTATGGGAAAGTGGTAATTATTTCATTGCTTATACGTCGTGCCAACTCTACTCCCCAATGTAAAAATGTGTGTTATTCTCAACTCATTTGGCTCGCATGTCCGACAGGTTCTTTATCGAAGCCAGGTCGATGGGAAGCATTATGCAATTAAGGTAGTGTTCGGAACTTTCGAGTATTTGATTTTTCTTAGATCTTGTAATCGACTCATGTCTTGCGAGTTGGATTCCTTACAGAGAGTATATCATCATGGAAGCAGTCTTTTGCCTTCTCAATTGAGTTTATGCTATTTTACATTTTATGGGTATTAGGCTTCACTTCCTTCTCATAATGGAAGCTAGCTAATGGTACTAGGTCGGAACTCTCTTTTTCTAGTTCCATAGAGCAAGTCAAAATAACTAAGCAGCAGCTTCATCCAGCACTCTGAATAGGAATATGTGAATTGCTCGTTCATATTATGATGGTTGATGTTTAATTTATGAATGTAGGCCTTTCACAAGTCTCATTTATTAAAGCTACGAGTTGCTCCATCTGAAACTGCCATGACTGATGTTCTTCGTGAGGTATTTTCCTGCCTTTTCATGTAAATTTCAATTGGTATATAATGATATCTTCAGACGTATATAATTCCAAGATACCATTGCTAGCTGTAATCATTCTTGTACAAAATGTACACATCCCAAATGCCACAACAGCATCATGCTAAGCCACCATTTGTCCAGGTGTATTCTAGAAGGAATAGAAGGGGGATAAATTACACAATTAAGGGCATTATAGTCTCACCGGAGTACTTCTGTTAGATAGGGAGAGGGAATATTATATTTAGAGGTAGTAAAGAATAAGGGAGGGCGGGAATTATTTTTGGGTAAAATTCTCAAATTGGGAGTCACTTTGGCTGTCGTATACCAGAGATGAGTTTTGTTTGATTAATGGCTGCATTTTCACTTGAAACGTATCACATTATTTATCTGTTGGCTGCCAATCATAGTTGAGCTGATCAATCCTAATTGCTTCATCTTCTTTTCCTTTCTTTTATTGGTATATAATTTCCATTTTTTTCTCCTTTTTTGCTGTATTTATTCTTGTTTACAAGTTAATGATGTTTCATCAACTGACTTGCAGGTCTTGATTATGAAAATGTTAAATCATCCCAACATAGTAAATCTGATTGAGGTGATTGATGACCCAAACACAGATCACTTCTACATGGGTATGATATGCCACTACCCTTTTTCTTTTTTTACATTTCATTTTATTGGTAGGTTTTTCTTTATCCATTATTTTTTTTATCTTCAGTTCTTGAATATGTGGAAGGCAAATGGGTCTTTGAGGGTGCTGGACCCCCAGGTGGCCTAGGACAACATGTTGCAAGGAGATATCTGCGTGATATAGTTTCTGGGTTGATGTATCTCCATTCTCATGTACGACTTCTCTTTTTAACAAAACTATATTTATGTTAAATTGTTAATACCCCTTTTTTAATCAGTTCTATGCTGACTTACTACTTAATTGTCTAATCAGGTATTATAAAGTTATACATCCTCCACCAAAAGAGAATTGCCACTTTTTCCTTTTTGGGTTGTCTACAAAAATTGCATATTTTCTTTATTGGAAATTAATTAGAGCAAAATGACAACCTTGATTCTAAGATTTGAATTTCCTTTGATTAAGTTGCTAGCTTTCTTCAGTTTCTTTCCCTCTTTCATCATAGTGAAAAAAACCCTCTACTTCTCTTTCCCTAAAAAAAGTATCCCATGTGGGTCCTTTATGATATAACTTTTCTTACTCAAATTTTTGTGTCTATTCCTACTAAAATTCGCGGAAAAATATTTAAATTTTGTTTTTGATGATCCAAGCAGAGTTAGCTTTTGTTTATTATATATTGCATAAGACGACTATGTGGTAGTCAACTCATATTAATATCCACATTCTCTCTTTGTTTCATCTCCATTTTTTGGTCTCAGAATATTGTGCACGGTGATATAAAACCTGATAATCTTCTCGTTTCTGCCACTGGCACGGTGAAGATTGGTGATTTCAGTGTCAGCCAAGTTTTTGAGGTAATAATTAATAAACTCCTATGCCCTGCGTTCCCTTGTTAGATATTATCAAATATGTTACTCATGAACTCCAGTAACAGAAATGCCTAAATCTGATTTTAATTTGTTTTCAGTCCTTTTATATAATATTTCCAAAAGGGCACCCTTGTTTTTCATTAAAGATTGATTTCTGTTTGTCCACATGTTCATCTAACGACTGTCCATGCTACCAATGTATCTATTTTAAAGGCAAAATAATAAAGTTAGCATTGCACTTTCATGTTTTGTTCACTCGTATGCCTGAAGAAAGAGATTTGTCAATCATATTAATTACATTATATTGTTCAACTGCGGTGGGATTTCACATATGCAAGTGGCCGATAGTTAATGATCTATGCTTTAATCCACAAACGGCAAACTTTCATTTGTTGATGCATTACATTCCACGAGTTCCACACTAGTTTGTTAATTTTGGATGGAAATAGTGTAATAGGATTTTGTGAGTATATACATCTACGGGATTGATAAATCTTTTGTTGAGGCTTGCAAACTAGAAAACAATTATAGTTCTGACTTTTTTTCCTATTTTTGGAAATATTGCAATTACAATGTTACCTGAAAGAGTTAAAGGGCTTAGCAGCCTTACGTAACATATCCTGATCCTAGAGGAACGAAGAGCATCAGAGGCAAATTTGATGATCTGTTCTCGACCTCTGATCTCATTCATGATATCGATCTTGGTGTTTTTGATAGGATGAAAATGACGAACTTCGACGCTCACCTGGGACTCCTGTTTTCACTGCTCCCGAATGTTGTTTAGGTAAGATGGTTGTATCAAGATTGTTGTCAACGTCATTAAGTTTCCCAAAAAATTGACATCCCCTTCTCGGGATTTTGATCAATAGGTCTAACTTATCATGGCAAAGCGGCTGATACCTGGGCTGTTGGAGTCACGTTATACTGTATGATACTGGGACAATATCCTTTTCTTGGAGACACACTGCAAGATACATATGATAAGGTTTGCTAGTTGACTGACCTCATTATCAAATATCAACACCTGCCTCCGTATTTTATATATAAAATCGTACCAATTTTAACATATTGGCTTGTTTCTCAGATCGTTAACGATCCTCTGTGGCTACCCGTGGGTATGAACCCCCTGCTCAAGAACCTACTCGAGGGTCTTCTCTGCAAAGGTCAGTAAATACGCCCGTCCGTGTGGTGTGTCTTTTGCTGCTACTAACTCATAAGAATGCTGCAAATAGTACATGGTTTTTGATCTTTTGTTCTCGAATTTGGGAAGAAAAGGAGGAAAGGAAGGAAGTTATTTATTTGTATTTTTGAGGGAAAAGTTCAAAAAAATCCAACAAACTTTTCCATTTTGAATGGTTTAATCCATAAACTACGTTTTTGAATGAAAAAACCATTAAACCTTATCATTTTGAATGATTAAGTTCTTGAACTATTTTTTCGAATGAAAAAAACATTAATCTTTTGATTTTGATTCCTTAAGTCCCTGAACAAATTTTAATAGATAAACCATCTGCTCTTTTAAAAATTGGATACCTACATTCTTTTAACCCAAAAAAAGTTACATTTTTACCCGACTAGTAAAGTTCGATGGTTTATTTAGTTTTAAGAAAAAATTCAGGGTCTTTAATCATTAAAATTGTGAAAGTTTAATGGTTTTTTCATTCAAAAATAGTTTAGGGACTTAATCATTCAAAATGAGAAAGTTTAATGGATTTTTCATTCAAAAATTAGTTTAGGACTAGACCATTCAAAATGAGAAAATTTGTTGGGTTTTTTTGGACCTTTCCCTATTCTTGAAAAGAAAGTGAAGGAAATGGATAGAAAGAAAAAACAATTTTTCATGTTCTTGAATGCGTTTGGGACATTGGACAGAACAAAATAAGGATCACTGTTTCACGTTTGGCAGAACTTCTATGAGGAACTAAGTGGAACAGTTCTGTTCCACCCCCACCCCATGGAACAAGGTGGGACAGAGCTATATTTTACCACTGTAACCTCAAAATAAACTATAATTCTCTTCTAAAACATCAAATACGCCTCTCTCACACATCATATTCATTTTTTAGATTTTATTTAGTGTATTTTATGCTCTTTAAACCGTTTATTTTGGTGTCATTTTAATCATTTGACAAAATCTTTCTAATAATATATTTTGTTAAAAAAATATTTATTTTATTATAATTTCATAAGTTACCTAAACTAATCAAAATATATAATTATGGGTAAATTGGTCATTTTATTTGTTCTGTCCTATCCAGTTCTATGATCTTGTCTTACCAAACGTTGAACCGTTATTCTGTCATGTCTTGTTTGGATACCAAACGTACCCGAACTGTACCGAAAGGAAAGGAAGTAAAGAACTAAAGTTGTCATTTTTACAAATATACTCTTTATGTTTGTTCATCTATGATATTTTGGTATGGTATATCTTGAACAGACCCAACAGGGCGAATGAGTCTAGAAACGGTTGCTGTTCATCCGTGGGTTGTGGGCGATGACGGACCGAGTCCCCATTACGTATGCTGGTGCAAGCGTAACATGTTACAGAGGGAAAAGAAGTCGGATGGGAGCATAACCGATGCTCTTATCAATACCGACTAAAAACACTTTTGTATTTGTGAAGATTTCTTTGTATAGTAGAGTTTGTTCGTTTGTTTGTTTGCGAGTTTTGCTTTAGAAGTAAACGATCTTGTAAGAAACTGGAAAGAAAGTACAACTTGTGAAACATCATCTGTGGGCTATTTGGTTTCCTGAGGACATACTTGTAATTTTATTAGTGTAATCCTCCAAAAAGGGGATCGAGATTCAACAATGTGTTTATCGCAATCAAGATTGTGTTTCTAAATGTAATGATCGAAGCGGAGTGATTTTTGTGGCATTCCAACGTCTCCTCGAACGGAGGCCTGTCGTTGCCCCACAAAACAACGGTGAAAAAATGTGTCGAATTCTTGTATGTGATACATTTCTACTCTGATACCATGTAGGATATGTAAAACGACAAGAGAACCATAAAAAAGTAGTATAAATGTAAGTTGGCAACAATGAGGGGGGCCAAAAGAAACCATGGGTCTGTGGTTTAACATTTTTTTTATTAACCTGGATATCTAACCCGCTATGTGATCCGATTAATCTCAGGACGACCATCTGCTTTGTAGATAGCCCGGAGTCGCCGCATTTGAACCTTCGTGGCCACAAGAGGATTTTTATTTCTCCTTGGATTTAAACCTGGAACCTCCTGGTACTTTTGACTTTCGGAGCCAAACTCAAACCAATCAGCCACCACCCTTGTGGTTGGTTTAGCATATTCCATTTGAGCATTTTTCCAAACCATACCATATATACTTCAATCCGCAAAAAACCATACCGTGGTGCGGTTTATGCAATTTATACCCATCATTTTTTTTTCTTTTTTGATTAACCTGGATATCCAACCCGCTAAGCGAGCCGACTAATCCTAGGGCGACCACTTGCTTTGCAGATAGCCCGGAGTCACCGCATTTGAACCTCCGTGGCCAAAAGGAGATTTTTATTCCTCCTTGGATTTGAACCCAAAACCTCCTGGTACTTTTCACCTTTGGAGCCAAGCTCAAACCAAACCCATCATATTTTATGCATATAATCTGATAATCATGAGATTAAACTTTCATTATAAAATCAACGATAACATGACTGTAGTCCAAAAAAATAAAAAGTTTCAATTAAGAGAATTTCGATCAAAGTTAAATGAAGGCGATCGTGTACGGTTTTGCGGTTTAGGCGAACACCCTAAAAGAAACACACTTCACTTGGAATTTCAAAACATAGACTATTACAAGGGAAACACATACATACCCTCCATGAAGGAACAAGTACCAAGGTCTTTCGTACACGAGATACCGACTACACGGCTTATTAACCTTGAGTTATTCTTCACACAACAACTAACGACCGAATGGATTCAGTCCCCTAACCATTGGTGGACGAAAACACCGGCATTTCTAAGACCGTTATAAAGACTTGTGCAGTCCCTACAGTAACTCGTTCTGCAATCGACCCCATCAGAACAGCGAAGAAAGAGCTCATCGACATGGCAAATCGCTCCACTTACAAATAACTCGAACAGAACTTTCAATTGCCTTACTCCTGCATTCATCATAAGCACCACAAAGTCTCCATCTTTTGCGGTTTCCTTGAACCAGTCGATGAATTCAAACTGTTCTTCGTGCAATGGAGCCTCAAGATAATCGACAGACATGAGACTAGGAGCGATTTCATCATCTTCATCAAGACCCGGATGATAAACGAAGGTGACACCGGGCTTTTTGACATGGGAAGTGAGAGCAGATACATTATGATCAACCACATAAACATTGAAAGCATCAGGATGGATAGGATAACGGTGATCGAATTCCACTGCCCCCATGTTGATATAAATCAGCCTATTCCTCGATGAAACATTCAGAAATTTGGGTAGATACGAAAGCTCCTGAAATCGTGCTGAATTTTGATCTACAAGAGGCTCGATAGATTTCATAAAAGGCTTGTTTTTCGATATAGATGGGCAGTCGTTAGGAAGCTTGTAGTCGTCAAAGAAAGCAACATTCTCTAATCGTTTCTTGAACACGATTAGGGTAAAGGATCCAATCCCACAAACATGGAGGATCTCGGAGTTTCTCAAGAGCAACGAAACTGGGGTTGCAGACCTTACCAAGCTACGGGTATGGAAGGTCGAGGAACCCACAAGCATGGCGCCAACGCCACCAGGTCGTAAAATGCGTTCAATCTCTAGTACAAGAAGAGCTGGAACAGAAACCTTATCGGGAGTTACGGAGAACACAAGATCGAAAGAATTGGAACCGAAATCCAGTTTGTGGTGAAATTGTTTCCTCAAAAGGGATAAAAGAGGGTTCGAACGGACACCGAATGCATTAGAGAATCCTAATTCTCGCATTGTTAAGGCAATCGAATCCGAATCCTTCCCTACACACAAGGATCTTGCATCAAGGTTTAACATCTCCTTGTTCATCAGCTCTCTAATCACACTAACAGTCAAATTGGTACCATCCACACATGGAATGGAGATCTCTTCTTGTGAAAGTGAAACCCTAGGGGTTTTGAGTTGTGTGTTCACGATTGAGCCGATGTTTAACGAACATTTATCGAAATTCAGCAAAATGGGATCAGTTGTTCGGATCTCGTTGGCAATTCGAGTGAACGAGAGAACAACCATGGCGACCACAAAAAACATAGCTCTGAGAATCAAACGCCAGGCGAGCGATCCTCGTAGGATCTGCCATTTCAGGACATTGAAATCCATTGCAAAACCTTTGCAATTCGGCACAGTTTTACAACAATCTCGTTTGATTGAAGTAACGAAGTTAATTAACTCTAGAGATCAAGAGTAAAATTGAAATGAACAACCAGAATTTGAAAAGGAGGAATGATTTAGCGAGTACAAAACCTGGAGGAGGTGTGATTTCCACCCACGAGTAATACTATGGAGTTTTGAAACCCTAACCAATCCCTCACCGGAATCCTCTTCCCCATCGTCGTCCGAAACCACTTCTGATTCATCCTGTAACTTACATACTTTCGAAAATCGAGATATTACATACTAAAATGGAAGAACAAGAGTGAGAAAGGATCAAGGGAAAGCTATGGATGGATCTGAGATATTGGAATGAGATAGAACGAGTGAAACTGGGAATTATGTAAGGAGGATGGAGTCAAGAAGGTTCCTATAATTGTGTTCTTGATGGTCCCAATCATATGCATGTGACTGTGTTCAATGATAGGCGACTCAGTATGACTCGGACCAGACCTATATTTCTCTCATTCAATACGAGTCGACTCGGTATGACTCGGGCCAATCTCCATTTATATTGTACTCTATATTATATTATAAAGTATTTGATAAAAACTCTTAAGAATCATGTATAAAATATTGTATATGAATGTGTATTACTTAAAATTCAAGATTACAACTAAATTATATGTAAGTGAACTTTAAAACTTCATTTTGAATCCGTATAACAAATCGCAGATAAATATAGTCATATACATGATAAACATTTTATTTTAAATATAAAAAATCTAAAATATAATAAGGATAATCATTATGTTCTAACATAATACTTAAATTATTATTTTTATAAAAAATTATGTTATTAAACAAAAAATAAATTGTTTCGTTATCAAAACCTAAATTAAGTTATAATAAAAAAATTGAATTAAATAAATTACACACAAAAAAAACATTTTAAACAGTTATTTGGAATTAATATCGATGGAATTTTAATTATGATGTATTCAAATTTATATTTTATTCAAAACTAAAAATATTATCACTTTCTCAAAATCACATAAAAAACATATTACATCGACAAATACAATAAATAAAATGAAACATTAAAATCGAGATATATATCGCTGTATTGCACGAGTACCCTTTTATGAGATACAATAGATACATAATAGAATTATGAGTAAACTACAAATTTGGTCCTTGTGGTTTGTCAAAAATAACTTTTTTTTTGTCCTTGTAGTTTCGAAATTATAAGATGTTCATCGTGGTTTGTAAAAAATGTCTGAAGTTGGTACTTTCCTTTAACAACCATTACAAAATTCCGTTAAATTAGATATTTTTATGATTTTGATCCATGTGGTTTTTGATTGGGTAAATGATGAAAATGTTTGTTGCTTAACGTAATTTTTCTAACGGCTACTAGAGATATGGATCAAATCCAGACGTTTTTATAAGTCACAAATGCATTTTGTAATTTCGAATCTATAGAGACAATAAGTTTTTTTTTAAACTACAAGAACCAAACTTGTAGCTTACTCTAAAATTATAAATCTCACAATGATAAACATATATGACAAAAGTTGATTATTGACAACCACAACCGATCCCACACTGATAAACATATTTGGTTTATATCTATATCAGGTTAAGATCAAGTGAATATTCTGAAAATAAAAGAACCAAATAACACATCCAAACCATTAGATTGAGATGATCCGACGAATGTAATAAAAAAAAGGGGTTATAACCAACTTTTTTAAAAAATAAACATATTTTCCCTACATTTTTTTAATGAAAAATAGGTGAAATATAGCAAAAACTAAAAGAAACAAAATATATCAAATAAATAATTATTTTATTATTTTTAATTTAACATCCATTTTTGATATATATATATATATATATATATATATATGTTTTTTCGTTTTTTAATGAAAAAATAGGAATAATATTGTTTGTGTTTTGAATTAATTCGTTAATTTTGAGTGATGAATGTTGACTTTGTTAGATGTGAATTTTGACTCAAGTATCGGTTAATAATATATTTTAAAAAAATAAAATATTAATTAAAATAGGTATACACGGGGAAGGGTCCGTCCTCTACGGAAAGGGGAAGCGAGTTGACTCACAGAGAGTCGGTGGGAGACCTACAAGGGACTGAGGGAGTTAATGGTAGCCGTCTAAGTGGGGGAGACCCATGTGTCAACCATCAAACCAATTTGGTAACATGTCCATTCCATTTTCTAAGAATACCCCTTCAATTATTATTAACATAGGGTATATTTCTTTGACAATACTCACCAGGATTAGCGGTATTGTTGAACCAGACAAAACAACAAGCAATGAAACCAAAGACAGATATAGCCGCTAAACTATAAGATAAGTAAGCCTCTCCAGACCATACAAGTGTATGCATTTGTATAATTCTTGTAATTTAATTAATTAATTAAGATATTTATAAAAATAATAGGAGTTTATTTATTATGATTTTAATATTTATGGAATATGAATAGAGTTCATTAATTATGATTAATACTTTATATTAAGAAACAATCAAAACTTCTATGAAATCACATATTCATCAAATGAAATGGACGGTTGAGATTGAGTTATATTGGTTGCACGAATGTCAACGGTTATATAATAACCAACCTCTATTAACATATTATTTGATATATATATATATATATATAGAGAGAGAGAGAGAGAGAGAGAGAGGTTGGTTATTATACAATCTTTGTCATTTGTGCAACCAATACAACTCAATCTTAACCGTCCATTTCATTTGATGAATATGTGATTTTATAGAGGTTTTGATTATTTACTAATATAAAGTATTAATCATAATTAATGAACCGTATTCATCTTCCATAAATATTTAAATCATAATAAATGAACTCTAATCATTTTCATAAATATTTCAATTTATTAGGTTGCATTGTTTGTACAAATGCGATAGGTTGTATTTGAAATAAACCCTATATGTATATATATATATAGAGAGAGAGAGGTTGGTTATTATACAACCTTTGTCATTTGTGCAACCAATGCAACCCAATCTCAACCATCCATTTCATTTGATTAATATATGATTTCATATAAGTTTTGATTGTTTCCTAATATAAAGTATTGATCATAGTTAATGAATCATATTCATTTTTCATAAATATTCAAATCATAATAAATGAACTTTCATCATTTCTATAAATATCTCAAATTATTGGGTTGCATTGGTTGTACAAATGCAATGAGTTGTATTTAAAACAAACTCTATATATATATATATATATATACATATATATATATATATATATATCATCGTGTTCACATGAGATAAAGTTATTTTCATTAGACACGTGATATAAATTTTTTACGCTTGAAACTTAGGTAAAAAAAAGTCGAACATTCACAGCAAAAACACTATGAAGGTTACTTTCACAGCGTTTTATTGTGAAGTTTCAAGTGTAAAAAAGTAATCTCACAAAAACAAGTTGATCTCGTGTGATCTCAAGTCTATACACACACATACATACATAAACAAACATTTATTTAATTAAAAGATCGTTGAAAAGGTAAAACAGATATATAAATTGTCGAGAGGATTGATCAGATTCAGACTTTTTCTATTGTTCATGAATATTGTTGGTATGTAAATATTTGATACCGATATATTTGATATCGATATCCTTGATTAGTGTATTTAGCCTTGTATTTTCTGGTAATGATCTTGTACCCACAAAAAAATATAAGGCTAATTACATTAATCAAAGATATCAATATCAAATAATCAGTATCAAATATTTACATATTAATAAGAACATATCAAATTAATCTAGTATTTCAAATCAATTTACTCTTACGAACGTTGAAATAATGAAGACCAAACAATTTCTACCAAATGTTGTGCAAATAGGGTTATAATACATAGATCTTAATGTTGATTATGACATGTAAGTTGAACTTAGTGGAAGTTCCAAAAAAACTAACTGAACAAGTGATTTACTGTACTGAATTGTTAAATTAATTTATCATATAATATTTTGGTCTGATTAACCCCATCAAAGAAGTCAAAAACCTTCTTGCACAACCAATTATGATTAGTCCCGAGTGGCAGCCTCGACCCAAACGGAAGTGCGATGTGTCTGAAAACTCGGGATAAAAAATGGAGATCTGCCCTCTCAGACCGCCACCCATATTATGGAGGCCCCTTCACACTTTTCGTTTTCTGGAATGAAAAGAATGGATACGACAGTGGTGCGAGTAGGCTTAAACTTGAGAGGGGGACCTTTGCATTTTCTCTTTGTTTATATATGTATTAACTCCATAAAAAATACTACACATAAATATCAACTAAAATATTAATTATACCAACATATTAAACCCAGTAATAAGAAAAAAGAATCCCAAGCGTGGGCAGAATGGTGTGGGGGTCAAGAGCTTGACATATAGGCCTATTGGCTTTTTTCGTGAGGTGCGTTTCCTGGCTCGAAGGTTTTGGATTGGGACTGTTGTTCGACTTTTAAGGTGTTCTTTCGTTGGTTTTTTCATTAGCTTGGTATATAAGATGTAAAGTTTAAAATGAAGAAAACCTTAGATATAAAAGAAGATACAAAAAAAATGTAAGGCAAATTGTATGAAAAAGTAACATACTTTTACTTTGATTCTTATTTTGGGTAACATACTTTCTAAACTTTCATTTTGGTATATAAGATGTAAAGTTTTAAACATTTAAGTACCCGAGTAACTGGTTGAAGACTAATTTTAGATTAAAAAGAATCCATGTCACTAACCACGTCACCAAATAATACTGAGTTGGATACCACATCAATCGCTACATAGCATGATAACCGGTTAATGCTTCAACCAGTTACCCGAATACTTAAATGTTTAAAATTTTACATATTAGGTACAAAAATGAAAGTCTTAAAAAAATACGTTATCAAAAACAAAAACCAAGTTAAAGACTTAAAATACGCTATTTTTTCATGTAATTTATCTACAAATATAATATATATCTTGAAAGTGGTCTGAATATATTAGAAGTAAAATAAAAAAAATTAAAATTTATGGGAAATATATAGGGAAAAGTGGGGGAAAAAAGAAAACAAACATTCGTGGAAGCAAAGAGGGAGCGAAGTTCAATACAGCTTAAACCCCTAACAGTTACGATGATGGCAACTGAAACCCTAGATACTCCGACCAATGGCTCGACATCGAACGTCACCGGGGAACTGAATCCGCCGGAAGATTGCGCAAATGTCTCTCATTCATCTCCAGATGCAACACCAGTAGGAGATGTGGAACAAGGAGATAAGCGTAAGAGAATCGAATCCGAAACCGATGAGAAAACCGTTGCAGTTCATCCTCTATGGAAGACGAGTCTGTGTTCTTACTTCAGGCGGACGGGAGGTGAGTGTAGCCATGGAGAAACGTGCCGGTATGCTCATGGAGAGGAGGAGCTCCGACCTCGACCGGACAATACGTGGGACCCTACTTCTGAGATGGCGAAGAAGTTGAAGTTAGAACATGAAGTCAGAGAGAAACGTTCGGACGAAAGAGATGAGGAGGTTATGATGACAGAGACGATATCGGAGGACGGTTGCTCTGAGTCTACTCTCGATAAGTGTTTGGTGAATCTTCCGATGAAGTGGAGTTCAGATAATTTAAGGAGTTTTCTTAATGAGCAGGTGAGTTTTTCCTAATACTGCATTATTGAATTTTGAAAATTGGGTTGATTTCAGGATTTATTAGGGAAAAAGTCGTAGGATTGTTCATTTGATTTACATTTTATGGTCGAATACGAGATGATCTTGTTGCAACAACAGTTTTGTTAGCAGCTTAGGGCGTGTTTGTTTGCAACTTAATGTGCTTAATGGGACTTACAGCCTATTTGGTCAGCTATAAGTAATTGTTTGGTGGGGGCTTAATAATATGGAAAGTAGCTTATTCAACAAGCTTATAGGAGGAAGCTTTGTGCATAAAGCTACGTTTTTTTTTTCTTCAAAGGCATCCCTCCCAAGTTCCAATTAAAATATGCTCTTTCTATCTATGAAAAAACTCTCCCGGACAGATTAGTCCAGACAACTTTCTCTATATAGGACTTACGGTCATGTATAAATATAAGCCTCCACGCCCCTTGTTGAATATCAGAGCATACAGAATGGAAAACCAACCAAACTGCCCCTTAACAAGCTTAATAAGACTTGCAGCTTATTGGTCAGCTATACATGACTGTTTGGTAGTGGCTTAATAACATAGAAAATGGCTTATTCAGTAAGTTTCTAGGAGGAAGCTCTAAAAGAACATGCTACTTTCATCTATGAAAAACCCTCCTAAACAATAACCTTCCCAATCTATACAAACAACTTTATCCATACAAGACTTAATCGAAAACCAACCAAACAACTCCTAAGCCACTAGGTCAATAGGAATTCATATCATTTTCCAAGTATTAAAAGGCCTGCTTATAGAGCTAAGTTGATGATAAAACTCAAGAATCAACAATGCTACAAGGAACAAGTGACTAGTATAAGTTGTCATTAATCCAAATTGAGAAGAACTACAAATTGTTAGCATCAAGCACACACCATGTTAACTACAAATTGTAAGCATCAAGCACACACCATGTTTAACAAAAAAGGTATGAACTTTATCCAACAACAATACAGAATTCACTTAGGATAGATAAATAATGAAAGGAAGAGGATCAACACATGAACGCAATGATTTTACGTTGTTCCACGCCCAATAGGTAGTGTATGTCCACAATGAGAGGAGTGTCGACTTAATTAACCGATGAGAAACCACTCGAGGAATATGATAATCAGAAAAGTGATTCAACTCTCAGAAACTACTTGTTTCTCTCTAACGAGTGTATGTATGCTCTGATATTCAACAAGGGGCGTGGAGGCTTATATATATACATGACCGTGCCTTTACATGACATACTTCAACACAAATCTATGTGCCTAGTTTGACATATTAAAACAAACGAACCATAAAAAGACCTTTAGATGTAGGTTAAAAGAAAATATCAATTTAGAGGGAAGGAAAAATCCAGTAGTACTTGATCGTTAAGCTCGGCAAGCTAATATAAATCATGTTATCACTGTTGTAACAACTTTCATGTCACTTACAGTTTATTTGTTCTCATGATACATCAATATGTTCTTGGCATGAATCCAATTATCTCAAAAAGTCAAATTTGTTATATTGTTTAATGTTGTCATGACGATCTTTTCATAACTTAATACATAAGTTATCAATTCATGACGATCTTTTAAAACTTAATGCTTAAGTTATCAATTATGAAGCTTAAATCAGTTTCTTCATCCTTAAAGATTCAGTTAATCCTCCTTTTTCGGATTAGAGGATGTATATGAAAGTGCGTTTTTTTTTACTGATATGAGCTTCTCCTGCTTTCTAGGGTATTCAGTATAAGTCAGCTAAGACAAAGAAAGGAATGGTTGTAGGCTTTGTAAGTTTTGAAACAGCAGAGCAAGTGAAAACTGCTATTGAGGTATTATTAAGTTATGAAATTGATTTTGATTTCTGCCAACTTGAAAGAGTCCTTGCAGCTTGACTTGTCAAACCTTGTATTCACAGAAACTGCAGGGAAAACCGTTTGGGAATAAAAACTTAAAGATAGCGGATGTCATTCCCAGAGCATTTGACAAAATTGTGAAACCAGCACTGATTTCAGACAATTCAGACATATTGGAATCAGCGAATGAGGTTGAAGATGGGGACTCCGTTAATGGCAGTTCAACCCCTGGAAGTTCGGTATTGAAGGGTAGGAGTGCCCGGGAGGTTGTGACTCCACTTGCCCATATGTCTTATGCAGTTCAGCTGGAGCACAAGAAGAACTCTCTTGCGCAGACTATGAAAAAACTTGTTGGCAACACTTTCTTCGTTTCTTATTTTGAATTGATAATAACATAGTTGCTGTATCATTACTATTACCTCTGCAACACTAGCGTTTCTAATTTTCTTCTTTCAAAGAGACAGGCTATGAAAGATTTCCTATTCTTTGATGAACTGGATTCGTTGATTCACACATCTCACCTGATACCGACTTACTTTTTCATCTTGTAGACTCGAAATGCACGTAAAGCTTGTCCCAATGGTGTTTCACTACCAGATTGGATACTTAAATCCAGGGAAATAGGTGATCTTCAAGTCTACTAAATGATTAATCATAGTAAAATGCTTAATCAGAAAGAAAAAGAATGATTCAACATTCATTCTTCTGAACTTCGAAACCTGTGTTCTTATGGAAATATATATAAAATAGGAAGTCCCCAAAATAATTCCAATTTTTTTTCATTTTTTTTCTTCACGAGTGCAGGTGGTCTTCCTTGCAAACTAGAGGGCATAATTGAATCACCACTTGTAAATGGATACCGCAACAAATGTGAATTTTCTGTTGGATATTCTTTACAAGGAAAACCTACAGTGGGCTTTTCACTTGGGAACTTCAGGTTATCTGACTTCATTCTCATCTGAGTTGCTATTCATTTTTTCTTTCCTGGTCTTACATTTTGTTCATGAATTAAGGTTATTATGATTCAGGGAGGGTGTGACAGCAGTTGAAGAACCTTTAGATTGCCCAAATGTTTCTAGAATTGGTTGCAAGTATGCTGAAATCATGCAGAATTTCCTACAAATTTCACTCCTCCCTATATGGAACAGGATGAATAATACTGGGTTTTGGCGTCAACTGACAGTAAGCTAAATTGTTCCTTAGATTGGAAAAACAGCATTTAGGTTTAAACGATTCTGTTGCAAAATTCCTAGCAGGAACAACTGAAATCAGGATCTTACCAGTGATATCAAACATCAGCTATAAGAAACTGAGAAGGGGATTCCTTTTCTCCTTCCACTAACTGTGTTGTTTTGTGATCTTATAAGGTCCGAGAAGGAAGGACGCCAGGCAAGAATGCTGAGGCTGAATCCGGCGAAGAAAACATTTCAGAGGTCTTGCTTATGGTTCAGGTTGTATTTAGTTCGCCTACTTGAACTGTTGCATCTCTTACATGCTTAGAAAATTTCGTTGAGCCACATGATGAGACCTTTCCGTGGATGATCTTGATTTTTCTTGCATGCAATTATATGCTTCCTTAGCGACATAATATGCCTTTTTTCCTTGCATAATTCTCAAAACGATTCCCTTCTTTTATAGTTCTAAGATCTACACATGTCTCGGATCCTATTTTTCTGTGTGAAAACTGAATATGTTTGAAAGCTAGAAATTAGTCTGACCCACATCATTCAGTTACATTATTTAGGTGTGGTGTATCATTATTGACCTTCTATGGCTCCTTCCCCTCTTCTGTCTTTGATTTCTGTACACAGATTTGCTCAACGGGCTTCGATAATGAAGTTATTAATGTTGAACTTGAGAACATGGCTGAAGCTTTTGTGGTGGGAGCTTCCACAAGTTCTCCATCTTTGCCTCTTACAGTGCTGGTTGTTCAGGTATTGCCTTTTACGTTATGATTGTCTGTTTTAACAAATGAATCAATATTCAAGTTGCACCTTTTTACATCTTATATAGCTGACTATCATCAGTGACTCTCCATAATTTTTAACTTTCCTGTTGCGTCTTTGTGCTTGTGAACTGAATCATCTTGTTGCACCTATAATATACATAGTCAGTCTCTGTCAGGATGGAGGATCTAGTTGTTAGGTTTTGGTTTATGCTTCGAAAGCTATTACTAGTTTGAAGTCTTGTGGTTTCATGGCTTCTGCAGCTTATTATGGTAGCCAAATAATTCTATTAATTAGTTTCAAACTACTTCTCTTAGGGCCTGTTTGTTAGACAGCTTAATGGGACTCATAGCTTATTCAGTCTGCTATGCATGGTTGTTTGGTAGTGGCTTAATGATATAGAAAGTGACTTATTCAGTAAGCTTCTAGGTGGGAGCTTTATGCAGAAAGTCAAGTTTTTCCCATACTTGTTCCTCCCAATTAAAAAACATGCACCTTCCTTTTATGGAAAAACCCTCCCAAACAAAAATCTTCACAATCCATACAGACAGATTAATCCATACAGACAGCTTTATCCATTCAGGACTTGATGGAAAACCAACCAAACACCCCCTTAGCTAGTTGGATGCTTGTAATCATTATTTGACTGTTTATGTTTCGTGTGAATACCTCATGCAGGATCATCTAGGGATATCCAACGTAGCACCAGCTGATGCTCCGTTGCGCACCCTGCCGCTTACCAAGGCTGTAAGTAGATCTGTGGAGGATTCTGAAGTTGTTGCAGAAGCAAGAATTCAAGACTATATAAACAACCTTCGGTTTTGTATATCCCCAACAGCCTTTTTTCAGGTACTGTAATTTTGTGGCCCTTTCCCTTCGGTTGTAGCTCTCGATCTATCTCACTGAACGGAAATTGATGAATTGTGAACATTAAAATCTTGCAGGTGAATACCCTTGCAGCAGAGAAGCTGTATTCGCTTGCTGGGGATTGGGCTGGTCTGGGACCTAATACTTTGCTTTTTGATGTATGCTGTGGGACTGGAACAATTGGGCTTACTTTAGCGCACCGTGTTGGAATGGTATCGTGCTTTTATCCTTCCTCACAATCTTTAACTTGCAGTTTTAATGTGTGAATCTTGAACTAGAAACTATTACTCACCCCGTCCCAAGAAGGGCGTGTTTGTTAGGTGCTTAATGAGCTTAATGGGACTCCCAGCTTATTTGGTCAGCTATACATGATTGTTTGGTAGTGGCTTAATGATATATAAAGCGGCTTATACAATAAGCTTCTAAGAGGAGCTTTATGGAGAAAGCCAAGTTTTTTTTTCTTCTAAAACTGCCATTCCCAATTAAAAAACATGCTCATTCCATCTATGAGAAAACCCTCTCAAACAAAAACCTTCAATTTATACAAATAGATTAATCCACACAGACAGCTTTATCCATCCAACACTTGATGGAAAACCAACCAAACAACCCCTAAGTGTCCAAATTTCTATTTTAGTTTGTCCCAAAATAAATGTTCACTTTCAAAAATAATTGCCTGCTTTGCAACTCTACCCGTGGAAACCTCTACTATTTTGGGTAAGAAAAATTCATTTGGTTGATTAAAAAGTGTAATAATTATAGATTTCTAAAACTGTGTACCTTTTTCATCGTGGACATTTATTTTGGAACAAAGGGAGTATATTCCAAGTATTCTTTCCCCTCTCTATCACTGATAGTTTTGGTTTGCAACCCTTTTATTAGGTTGTTGGGATTGAAATGAATGCTTCTGCAGTAGCTGATGCTAATAGGAATGCTGAAATAAATGGCATTAAGAATTGCAGGTTTGTCTGTTCAAAGGTGAGGACAAGAAGATGACCCTTTACCGACATTCAGTTCAATCTGTCAAAAATGACAAGACTACAATATAAGATCTGTAACATTTCCTTTGGGGGTTTGTTGTATAACAGGCTGAGGATGTGATGGGATCTTTACTAAAGGAGTACTTAACAAAAAAAGTAGATAATGATGCTGATATTGGTAATAAAGAAGAAACAAATGCTTCTGAAGAAAAGGCTCCGGATGCTGAAGATAGCTCGGGGTTAAACCTTAAAGACGAGAAAGAGAGCAATTGTGTTACTGAAAGCAGTAGTAGCAAGATGCATCATTTTGAAAATGTCGTCGCCATTGTTGATCCTCCCCGTGTTGGACTTCATCCCACTGTGAGTAATGACTTGTTTCACCGCTTCTTGCATTTTTGGGTGCATTTGGTATCCGGACAGGACTGGACGGGAAGGAGTGAGGTAGGCGGGGTGAAAAATTTCTATGGAAGGTTTTAGGGTTTTAATTTAACATGGGTAGTTTAGTAATTTACCTATGTGTGTTCCACCTATTTTGGTGGAACTGAATGCATTTTCTTCTACTCAGGTCTTGTCCTGTCCCAGTCTGATATCATGCCAAACATGAGACAAGTTTTCGTACAGTTCAGTCCCCGCGTACCAAACGCACCCTTGAAAATGTTTACTTTGTTTATTATATGCATTTAATTGGTATTGGTGATTGCAGGTAATCAAAGCTCTTAGAACTCATTCACATTTAAGGAGGCTTGTGTTAGTTTCCACTTTAAACTACTTAAATTCATCACCTTCTTTATATCGTCCACGACAATATATTTCCCTAAACGTCGATTCTTTTCCCTTTGATTTCCAGTTACATTTCATGCAATCCCGAAAGCTTAATGGCAAACGCTATTGAGCTTTGCACTCCGTCCGCTGATAAAAACGAGAAAGGGAACAAGAACAATAGAGGATGGAGAAATATGAGCAGTGCTGGTTTGGCTCGCCATCGAGCCAAATCTATGCCCAACTCGGAGCCGTTTCAACCGGTCAAAGCCATGGCGGTCGATCTTTTCCCTCACACTCCACATTGTGAACTAGTCATGCTTCTTGAAAGGTAAATCTTGTTTACAAAACACCTTATTTGTGTTTTATTTACTTATTTGACCACCTCCAAAAATCAAATAGATAGCAATTTTCTTGTTTTGATATATTTCTTGGTAGATTTTAGCATAACACCAATTAATCATTTTGGATTTTGTTAACCCATTATATTATATGGATTCGAATTTCGTCTTATATCTTCATTGCACGGTTTTGTATGGCAACCACATGAAAACACATCATCAGAAAGAGAATCAAAACGTAAATTAAATAACTTCTATGAGACTCAACCCTACTTAACCCACAACCCAATTTGAAAGCTTTTGCCATTTGACAACATATCTTTCAAGTCCGAGTATTTACACATTTAGGGCCTGATTGCTAGCAGCTTAATGAGCTTAATGGGACTTGCATCTTATTTGGTCACCTATACATGACTGTTTGGTAGTGGCTTAATGATATAAAAAGTGACTTATTTAGTAAGCTTCTAGGGAGAGCTTTATGCAGAAAGCCAAATTTTTTCCCGACCTCCCCCTCTTAATTGAAACGCATGTTCCTTCCATCTATGAATAAACCCTCCCAAACAAAAACATTTCCTATCTAATACAAACAGATTTATCCACATAGATAACTTTATCCATACATGACTTAATAGATAACCAATCAAAAAGCCTCTTAGTCCATGTCATAGGCTTTTTATTACATTCTAGTCTAAATTTTGGTGTGTTACATTAGGTCTCAATTCAAATCCGACTTCGCCATTTTCGTAAAAAGACATTCTTTTGCATTACACAATGCATGAATCATCATCATCATCATGTGAAAAGATGCACATTTATATAACTAATTCACTTCCCCCTTTAGTTTCTTCTGCCTCATTTACTCATGCTTCTTCCGCTTCCTTTTTCTTTATCTTCTTTTGATCCATCATCTCTGAGGAGCCTGCCCAATAACAGTCCCAAAATCCCTCTTTTTGTATGGCCCCCACTCCACTGTTTCTGCTTTCTGGGTTTACGACGACTGACCAAGAGACCTGCGTGGCTTTTCTGAAATAGTTGCTCTGTCTGCGTAGACCCCACATTCAGATAAAATATGCCGAGTTTGTTTGGTTTAGTTTCTTTATCATCTTTCTTTTGTATTGATTTAGAATAATGCCATAAAGATACATAATTGAGATACAATTGTGACATTTGGTGATCGAACTACAATTACCACTTGATTTTGATTCAACCCTTTATTGATTCTTCGATCTCGAAGTGATATAATGGTTAAAGGGAAAAAGCCTCGATTCCTAAAGAATTATGGGATCATTGGTGGCCATATGCCATTGATTTCCCTGATATCCCACACCTGCAAAGCAAGATTCTTTGAACAATCAAATCCTTTTTGAAAGCGATAGATGTTGAAAATGGTGAAGGATGGTGCGGATCAAAGTGACAAGGTGCTGAAGCCGATGAGAATAGTGCCGGAGGCTATGTTTCAAATTAAAACACGGAGTTTGTTTGAAAAAATGAACAGCTTGTGCAAAAAAAAGGGTTTGTAACCGGCAACCTTGAGCCGACTCACACAACCCTGCCGATATATAGCAGGCTTGACATGCCGTGAATTCTTTTGAATGAGAGAGGTGCCTTCGGGAACGCAGACACAGGTTTTACATGGTTGTTGTCAGCTCGTGCCGAAAGTGAATGGCTTAATAATGTAGCGTAAGATATTGGTTAACTTCGTTTTGTTGTTAGGAAATAAAATTGTTTAGAAGGTTAAAACAGTAAATTATATCAAGTCTTGGGGAGTCCACCTGTCTTGTATTCTGGCGGTGTCTTCCCACCTATTTGCCAATTGAGTTACACGTTGGAGGCAAAACAATACAAATATATCACTAAGATGCTTCATTTTGAACCTTTTTTAAGTATATAATATTTACATATGGTAAATACTCACATACGAATTTACACATTGGTGAGATTTGAATACTGAATTTCGTGGAAGACTGATATCTACTGATGACCTGGATACTGTTGATCCAATGATCTGCTTCATTTAAGATCGTCAATTGATCCTTTAATTCAACACCAGTAAAACCATACAAACTCGGTAATAATTATTAATTTGAATACTACAAAATATTTTACGAATCAACGTGGTTTGGCAAGACGATCGAATATAAAGGTTTCATTACTATTGGAAAATACGAACGATATGCGCTTAAAAGAGAAGAGATGCGTACTAAAAGTTTAAAATGTGACTTGTAACTGAATAGTATTAAATTAGGTTAATTCATTATAAATTTGATTATTATTATAGGGTTGGGTTCACATGAGACAAAACTGTTTTTGTGAAAAATGATTTTTACACTTGAAACTAAACTTCATAACAAAATGTGGTGAACGTAAAAAAACCCGATTCTTCACAGCAAAAACACTGTGAATGTTACCTTCACAGTGTTTTGCTGTGAAGTTTCATGTGTAAAAATCGTGTTGCACGAAAACAGTCTTGTCTCACATGATCCCAAGTCTATTGCTATATTTTATTTCGTTAAATGTTTGAAACTGCGACACTTCATATTTAAGTGACAATAGGAATAGTGTATGTTTAACCACTTGGGTTGTGACGTAATGGTTAGGGGTATGGGATGTAGTGGAAATGTTATATTTTTTGGGTTTAAGTCCAGATGCTACTGTAATCCATGCAATCATGGAGGTTCATCTGCGATGACTTTTCGTGGTCGGCTAGTGTCCATAAGTTGTTGGCCTAGATACTCTGGTTGTCAAAAAAAAAAAAAAAAGGAAAAAGGAAAAGAAAGTAATAGGTTCCTACCTAAGAAATCTTGAGAGAGTTTAAGTTTTTCGTTTTCTTTTATAATATGTATGGGAATAATAAAGAAACAACAATTGCATGTCAAAAGTAAATGATCGTAACTGTTTATCGAACAAGTATGATAAACATAAAAAGTCTTATCCGGTAAGTAAGAGTGGTGATTCTTATTGTGTAAGGGACCGTTCATCAAACACTTACCCAGTAAGCATTTAGCGGTAAAATTCAACATTATCATTTACTTACCGGGTATAATTTTTAGTCAACAAAAAACGACTTTCTATGTAACAAATTACCTGGTAAGAGCTGACCGTGGTAAAATTCATTGCCCTTACTTATCGGGTACGACTCTAGGTCCTTGTCTCGCTCTTACCGGATAAGATTCATGGTCATTTCCATGTTTATCCAATAAGGTAATGTAATTTGGTATGCGCTTACCCAAGTAAGCATTTGGTAAACGGCCCCTAAGAGTCATTTACCAACAATCTTACAATATATTTTCGACAGTTGAAATCTTTCATAGTAAGGTAAGTGAGAATGATTACTCTTACCAGTAAGCGTTTGACAAACAACACATAAATATTCAGAAGTCGTTGTACTCGTTCTTTAAATGAGAGTTTGTACGTAACAAAAAAACAATCGAAGGTGTTCAAAAGATAACTAGAAAGTTGATAGTTTTAAGCACAAATATCTATTTCCATCGGGTTTGAATGATCGACGATTGTCATATTTAAAATGCTACATTATTTGTTGTTCGATTTCATAAATTTAGAGCAAACTCCATTTTTTTAATCTGTTGAAAATTGCTATTTTCGTTTTCTTATGTTCTGAAATTACGGTTTTCATCCTTGTGGTTTACAGTTCATTGTTTTTTTACGTCTATATGGTTTATAATTCATTGTTATTTTCGTCCCTCGTACTTAATAGTAAACCGCTGACGAAGCTAGTATTATGAACGAAAACAAGTTACAAACCATCACAAAGATAAAAACCGTTATTTCAAAAACACAAGAAGGAAAAGTGTAATTTTTTAACAAAACACATAGACAAAAATCATACTTTACTTTTAAATTAAGGTCTAAAAAGCATAAAAGGGAAAAAGAAAAGGAAAATGTTAGTATTCATAAAAGCTGGAAATTTTTGACAACTACCCATTTCAAAGTATGATTTTGTCATTGTCCCAGCGGTATCGTAGTCTTTGATTATCTAGAAGGTCATAGGTTCAAATTTCACAAAAGATGAAGAAGATGTGTGAGTTTATTTGTTACATTTGTCGTATATAAAAATCATATACTTCAAAAAAAGTATGATTTTGAATCAACTAATTTTACACAATATATTTTAACGTTCAATTTTTATGTGTTTGTGAAACAAAAAAGTTTCATATATTATGAACTGAATACATATGAAACAAACACATTTTGAATCAAATATATATTAATCAATATACTGAATTCCAACCTTAGATTAAAAAGATAACGTGAATAATACCTAATGATAATGATTTTTACAGTTATCACAGTATATATAAGTTTCTCAGTTAATTATTTTCCTTTTGTTTTCTATAAGAATCTAAATATATGGTTGTTTTTATTTAATTAGGTGAAATAAGAATATAATTATTTTTATTTATGCAAAAACCTTTTTTTCATTATTTTATTTATTTTGGAGAAAAAGTAAAAGAAAACGAGAATTAAATATTACTGTATTTTACAATCATGCCCCTCAACCATTTTCCAATTGAGGCCAATGCACCAAACAAAAGAGGGGCAGCCCACCACCAACAAAATTCTAATTCCAATTCCAATTAGATAATATAAACAATTTATTAATGATAAGATTATTTAATAAATAAAATACCAATCTCTCTCTCTATATATATATATATAGAACATGAAAACGCACGAATTACATGTAAAATCAGTTGATTTTACATGTGATTTTTATATAAAATGACATGTGATTCAAGTGTTTTTTATCATCTTATTTGTTAATTGTTCCCGTATAAAGTGGACTATATATAAGAGTGAGTTCAAATGAGATTATCACTACCTTATAAAAACATGAAAACACTCATATCAGATAATGTGACTTAATGGTATGTAACTACTTGGCCTGTGACGTACCAAAAGTCGTTTACATCTCTATTATAGTACCATATGTAATATGTGTTTTTGGGTGAGCTCCTCATTTTATATATATATATATATATATATATATATATAGATGACGTTTCAAATGCAACCTATCACATTGTACAACCAATGCAACCCAATCAATTGAGATATTTATGGAAATGATGAGAGTTCATTTATTATGATTTGAATATTTATAAAATATGATTAGAGTTCATTAATTATGATCAATACTTTATATTAAGAAACAATTAAAACTTTTATGAAATCACATATTCATCAAATTAAATGGACGGTTGAGATTAAGTTGTATTAATTGTATAAATATAAAGAATTGCATAATAACTCACATCTCTCTCTCTCTTTATATATATATATATATATATATATATATATATATGGGATGAACCTACTTTGGTGGTTATGGTTTCACGTACCACCGTATTATTCCTCCGTCGAAGGGTAATACCACCTTATGTATTTTGAAACTACAATGAGAATAAATTTTATTTGGTAGAGTTGATTTGCAAGGCTTTTATTCCATCCCACACCCAAATTTGAATCGTGTTAATGTCATTTTCTTAATCAAATGGTGTCATCAATTGAAAAAAAATTCCGTATATTTGTTTCTTATAGTTAAAAGATGTCACCGTTTGAATTTTTTTATATATAATCAAATAGTACCATCATCTGAATTTTTTTAATCATCATAATATATATATATAATTTATCACAAAAGCATGACAAATCCTACACTCACAAAATTTTGACTTTTTGGTGGGAAGAGTGAATAATCATCATCACACATTTTATGAGAAACACCAAGACATCAAATATTGAATTGCTCACAAACACCCTCCCAATTTCCATCACTATCATTCACACATTGCTTCTGTCTTTCTTCTACCTTTTATCTCTTCTTCAATCATATATACTTTTTTTTATTAAAAATTTAAATGGTTTTTTATATAATTTTTTTATCTTCAAAAATTACAATATTTTTCTTAAAAAAAACGTTTTTCCCCCTAATTTATATAATTATTTATGAGCAATAGATAAAAACAATTGTTATATAAATTATCTATATAATATCATAAAATATTTGACAAAAGCTCTTAAACACTATTTTTTATGCATGAAGTATTCTTTATTGATGCATATTACTTAAAATTCAAAATTACAAGTAAATTGTGCAACTTATTAAAGCTTTATGTTTGAATTCGTGTAACTAATTGCAGATAAACATATGCAAAAACCGGATAAGTATCTCATTTTAAATATAAAATATCTAAAATATATTTAAGATATTTATTGAATTATAACAAAACTAGAAGAAAACTCGTGCAATGCAGCGATACACATCTCGATTTTAATGTATTATTTGTCTATGTCAATGTTATAATACGATTTTATGTGTTTTTAAGAAAGCAATAATGATTTTATCTTTGAATAAAATATAAATTTGAAGATATCATAAAATTTTGGAAAAAAATATATCAATGTTAATATCAAATAAACTATTTAAAAATTCTCATTTTTTATGTAATTTATTTAATTTATTTTTTATTATAATTTAATTTAAGTTTAATAACGAAATAATTTATTTTTGGTTTAATAATATAACATTTTATAAAGATAATAATTAAGTATTCTGTTAGGACTCAATGATTATCCTAATTATATTTTAGATTTATTTATAGTTAAAATGAGATGTTTATCTTGTATTTGATTATATTTATCTGCAGTTAGTTATATGAATTCAGATATGGAGCTTTAATAAGTTGTACTTACGCACAATCTACTTGCAATCTTGAGTTTTAAGTAATATGCATTAATAAACAATATTTTACGCATAAAAAATGGTTTTTAAGAGTTTTTGTCAAATGTTTTATAATATAGTATAGATACTAATTATCTTTTTAAAAAATTATATTCTTAAACCAAAAATAAATGACTTAATTATTGAATCTAAATTAAAATAAAAGATTTAATTAAAGAAATTACACAAAAAATAAAAAACTTGTAAAAATTTAATTTGATACTAAAATTGACATATTTAAAAAAAATTATTATACCTTCAAATTTATATTTTATTCAAAAACTAAAAAAACATTATCGTTTTTCCAGTACCACATAAAATCGTATTATAACATCGACGGAGACAGAATAAAACGAAACATTAAAATCAAGATGTATTTCACTGCATTATGCGAGTACATATCTAGTTGTTTTTAATTTTAGAGTTCTTTTTAAGTAATTTGTGTTTTAAGTCCACGTGAAAAACATGAAAGATATATCACAAGTTATCAGTTTTCTATTTATTTATATATACATGTTTTGTGATAAACGAGTAACGATGTTTTTGGTATTTAAACCTACTCTTGTCTTCGATTTGAGTTGCATTAGCTCATCAATTTACTATATCTGACAAACAACATTAATTTTTGGAAACTGTTATTGAGATAAGAAGTTCAACGTTTATACGATTGTCTGTTAGCGTTAGGTGTTCTTTTTGATAAGTCACAAGGATTGTTGTTCTTTCATAATTCTCTATTGGCCAAAAATAGCGCCGACTATATATATACATATACACGTATCTATCTTAAAAACCACTGAAATATAGTAATAACAATGTGGATCCTTTTAAGATCCTAATCATAAAATCGATAAATTAACAACAATATTTTATGAACATCATATGTTGTGATAATTATTGAGAATTTTTATTTTATAAGTATTGTTTCATGTGATTTTTTTCCATCAAATGCTAATATTTAATGTAATGATTAACATAATGTGTTTGTTTCATATGTAATTTGACTCACAATGTGAAACCTTTTAACGTGTATTTTTTGTTTCGCAAATACACCAATGTGAAACACAAAATAAGTGTCCACAATAGAAATGATCAAATTACATGGTTTTAGACATGAATAATTATTACACTTTTTTGTTAAACGAATGACAACTCTACCCTTATCAACTCTTAAATATTAATGCATTAATTAAGGGTGGAGTTAGAAATTTAGTTATTTATTTTTGAGAATGAAGACTTATTTTGGGACAAACATAAATAGAAATCTGGATAGTTAATCAATACTTTAAATCACAATGTTAAATGAAAAATAATATAATATAGCACATGATCCAACGGTTTTATAGTTCTTACAATTTTATCTGTAAATTAGCGCTTATCAGATAAATTATTACAAATGATACCGTTTTTGTTGACTAAAATCATACCCGGTAAATAAATAATAATATTGAATTTTACCAATAAATACTTATCAAATAAGTGTGTGATAAACGACCCTAATATTGTTATATATATACACATACTTCATAATAACATAAGATATGATTATTTAGGCTATTTTATTGAATTTTCTTTGTTGTAAATTGTAATATTAAAAAAGAAAAGTAAATAAAAAAAGAGAAGTGTTGAATACTCTTACACATATGGTTACAAAGGAGACCCATATCATGTTTGTTTAGGTAAAAGAAAGCAACATCAACAGAATTCTCAAATGAGCCATTGTCATATCATCATCAAGATTCAAAGGTGGTGATGGACACAAGTGATAAAAGGTTAATTAAAAAGGAAAATTAATTTAAATTTAAAAAAGAAAAGAAAAAAGAAGAGGGGGTAGGAATGACTATTGTCAAGAAAGCCACAAGACAGAGAGGGAGATGAATAGTGAAGTAGGCCCATTCTTTTGCTCTATTTTTGTGTATGGGGGAGAGAGAGAGAGAGAGAAAGAGAGAGAGAGAGAGAGAGAGGGGGGGGGGGGGGGGGGGGGTTTAAATGACACCACCATACCACCCCTATGATTTTTGCACACACTCTCTCTCTCATCTTCCACCATTAGTCTTCAAGATTTTCAACTCCAATTTCTGGGTGCCCAAAAAAGATCAAAAACCCATCAAAATTGCTACATGAAATGATGAAATCTGAAGAGAAAAGAAGCATCATGTTTGTAGGTGAAGGGCATGATTCAAGTTCATCCCAAACTGAAGAAGTTGTCATCCCTATTCACAAGGCTGGTTTTCATTTTCTTCCCCTGTTCTTATTCATCTACATCATCTTCATATTGCCCTCTTTTCTCTTTTTCAAATGCCTTCTCTCTCTCTCTCTCTCTCTCTCTCTCTCTCTATATATATATATATATGTATACATGAAATCACTTTTGGGTCTTCCTTAATCCCAACATCTATTGCCAAAGTTATGATCTTTTCAAGTTCTTAGCATGTGGGTATCTTAGTTTGTGAGATCAACTTCCTGTACCTTCATGCTGATCAAGAGTAAGCTATATATACATACATATATGTATGTATATATATGATATGGTTATTTGGATGCTCCATGAGGATTATAATGAAGTCCTATACTAATACATCATTATTTCCCTTGCATTTTGCACAAAAATGGTGTTTTCTATCAAGAAATGATAACTAGAAGCTAAACTTTGCAGTCTTTTCATGCTAAATTTAGATAGAAATTTAAGGTTTATGATCTTCACATCTATGAGTACAAGCAAATACACAAGTGTTCGTGACACCCATGAGACCAGTTGTAAATGCCCAGAAAACTGAACCTTCACAGCAAAAACATTGTGACATGATCAGTTTTTTTTTTTGGGTGTGAAGAGTCTGTTTTTGTACCTTTGCATGCTTGTTGCTATGTAGATTCAGTGTTATTTTATGGTCAAAGAGGTAGTTCTTAATAAAAGATAAATGGAGTAATCTTCAATCTTCAAATCCACTCAAATTCCATGATCTAATTGCATCTTGGCTTTCAAGACTTGTATAAATGAATGATAGTTGCTTCAATTGAACAACACGCATGATATAGATCTCCCTTCACCTATCATCACAACATCTACCAAACAAAATACATGATTTGGCAACTTGTGATTTCCACTTTAACGACATGAAATCATTGCATTTAACCGATCAAAAGATGTTGCCACAATCGGAGGTTAAGCTAGAAAGCAAGCACTAATCATGCAGAAAACATAAACAATCGGTTATACTTGTATTAGAATTCGGCTTTTGTTAATGATCTTTGGTGAAAAGGGTCCTCATATAAGGGAATAAAAGCAAGTACAAAAGCCTAATCCTTGTTTACAGCCAGAAAGCGATCTTGCTTTTGATCAACTTTCAATCCCACTTATCAATCCTCATGATTACAGCACTAAGGAACTGTTTTGTAACTATTACTCACTGGATTAGTGGCATTCTTTATGCAACTTGAAATCAGAAAAGGCTTCATATAACCTGCCTTAGTGCAAAATGATTTGGATTGCATATATATTATCAATCAAGATCTCCAAAAAGAACCAAAAGTTCTTGCTTTTTTGCAATTCAAACTATTCCTTTTTAAGGCCGGTATCGTGTAAAGCTTGGTTTAAGCCTAAAGGGACTTTATTACTTCAGTCATATTAACGTAGAGACGTGGGGAACATGTGGGTGTTTCAAAAAGCGGCAACTTTCTTCTCGTCACCTTCAACCATTTCAAGATTTCTTGATCCGTTCGTTATCTTTCAAACTATTGATGATTAGTTGAAGATGAGTTTTCTTGATCATTTTCAGGTTGTTGAAGAGGAGATTTCTACAGTAGGTACAGAAACACCAAATGGGAAGAACTGGAAGAAACAAAATCTGTTTTTGGAGATACCATCAAGAACATCACAAGCCTCGTCATCTCATGAATCTGTTCAAATCAAGATCACCCCCACACCAACTCCAACTTCAAAGAAAGTAAACTTCAATCTGACACCAAGTCCTTCAGAGATCAGACCAAATGCACCTGCTCCTATTCACTCATCAAAAACCAAATCTTCCAAGAAAAGTCTGCTACCAAAACTGAGTTTTATGAACAAAACTACAATCCCAGATACAGAAAGGATCGATAGTAATGTAGTTCCAGCAGTGTCATCTTCCATACCACAGGAAAAGACTTCAATCGCGAGATCTTGGTCACTTACCAAGATCTTTACCCCTCAAAGGACAGCATCTTTACCAGTTACCCCCATTGCACAGTCAGATCAAGGATCTGTATTGGGGAACTCGGGTGGTTCACTTAATTTGGAGGTAAGTTGTATGTTTTTAACATGAATAGTAGTAATTTTCTGATGATCTAATCTCAGGATTGTGAAAAGTTGTTGTGATCTTTCTATGTGGGTAGACTAAAGTCCAAGGGTGTATAGCTCGATCACGATCAGTCCCAGTGCTGAATGAAGATATAAGCATCAAGAGAATGGATTCTTTTTTCCGTGTGATTCCTTCAACTCCACGAGTGAAAGATTCAGATACCGTTTCACCAACCCCTTCTCCTGCTCGTGATGCGGGTAATTCTTGATCCTCAGAAATTTAACAAAGCTTGAATCTTTGAGCCTTGATTACATATATGTGACAAAGCTTGAATCTTTGAGCCTTGATTACATATATATGACAAAGCTTGAACTTTGAGAATACATAGAACCCCCATTAGATTACTCTAGAAAAGAGCCCTTGTGGCGGGAAAAGAGATTCCAACATATACTAAAAGAAAAATGGTCCAAGTTTAGCCGATGTGGGACTTAGACATTTCTTCATCATGAATTGTCCGTTTTTCTTCAGAAAACGAAGAAGGGGATGGTGAAGACATACCTGAAGAAAAAGCTGTTTGTAGGATATGTTTGGTTGAACTCTGTGAAGGCGGTGAAACCTTGAAAATGGAATGCAGCTGCAAAGGCGAACTCGCTTTAGCCCACAAAGATTGTGCTGTAAAATGGTTTAGCATCAAAGGTAACAAGACTTGCGATGTGTGCCATCAAGACGTCCAGAACCTACCTGTCACACTTCTGAGGATTCAGAGTACGGTTAGAAACCGAAATACTGGTGCAAGTAGATCCAACATGGAAATAAATGCATACAGGCAAGTTGATGTTCTTCCCATTTGAGCCATTCTTTGCTACTTCCTTTTTTCAAATTTGAAATCTGGATTAGCATCTAACACCAGTTTTTGATCTTGAATTGACAGTGATGTTTATAGGGTGTGGCAAGAAGTGCCTATTCTTGTTATTGTCAGTATGTTGGCCTACTTCTGTTTCATTGAACAACTTCTGGTAAGGTTCAAAAAAACCATATTTTTTGTTGAATTCAGTTTCTAAAGCATAAAAATTTGACACAACTACATTTTGTATGAAGGTTGGGAACATGGGTACAAGTGCAATTGCACTCTCTCTTCCATTTTCATGTGTTTTAGGTCTTCTTTCATCCATGACCTCTTGGACCATGGGTAAGCAAACAGTCTATAGATGTGTTCATCATTCACCTTTGCCACTTTATTATATCTCCTGATTCAAAGTTCTTTATCTGTTTGCAGTGAGAAGAAGATTTGTGTGGTTATATGCATCGATTCAGTTTGCTTTTGTTGTAATCTTTGCACATATTTTCTACTCCGTGGTAAGGAACGTGACTCGCTTGCATTCACCATTTCACGCTAAAAACGTACTCACTCTTTTGGTTTAATGGTGTTCAGGTTCACGTTCAGCCAGTTTTATCGATTCTTCTTGCAACATTTGCGGGATGTGGGGTTGCAATGAGTGGCAGTTCGATTATTGTTGAGGTTTTAAGATTGAAGAGAAGATGGTGGCATGATCGGTCGGACCAACAAATGAACACCCAGATCGTTTTACATCCAGAACCACGACGCACCCAAACTGCATCATCGTCCCATGCCGCTCCTACACATGATGTTGAAATTGGGAATACAGAAGCTCAAAGAGGGAGCTAAGTTTGGTATCAAGTTGCAGTAGGAAAAAAACAAGAGGATGATGAGAACAAGAACAAAATGTTTGAATGTGGTGAGCTTGCAGTTTTAGTTGAGATAGAGTGTTGTGGTGGCAGAGTTTAGGTCTGTATATCGAAGAATATCATCCAAAAGCATCATGAAAATTTGATTTATCGATGGCTTATGTTTGATAACATGGAATGAAAGCTATGGTTGTACTCATAGCGATGTCCAATCGAAAATGTCCCGAAAATCATATTCGAACATGTCAATTGATGCACAATTCATAAAAATTAAGATTAAAAAAACTCGGAAAATGCTTCTTAAAGACTTAAAGGTGAGATGCATCTAGAGAGATGAGGTGATTCAGATATTCTGTTCATCATCTATTCTGTATGATTCATCTAAATGTGTTGCATAAATATTGATACCAAATTCAATCAGCTGCTGGTAAATATGAATCCATCCGATTCGGTAAATAACTTATAATGATAAAATTCGAAAGTAACCAATAGGTAAAGAATCAAACGAATAGATCCAGAAGATCTGACTGAAATTTACATCACGAATATTAAATGGTAAGATATGAAATTCTCACTTTGTATAGATCTAGATCTAGATGACGATGAAGAAGATAATGTAATCAGATTTAATTTTAGAGGAACTCTCTTCTTGCGGCGGAACTGAACTCTGCTCGTCGGATATTATATTGACGTTTCTTGTACAACATTCCTCCTAATCCAACAACACACACCGCACCGATCACTCCAATCGCAATCCCGGCCTTCTTCCCGCTGCTCATCCCTCCGGACGAAGCTTCCTTCGTTTCCTCGGTCTTCACATTGGCAGAAGACACGTCACTAGCATCCGCCAGCTCCGGTGCCGGAGGCAAAGATGGAGGAGAAGACGTGTCGAATGAAGGAGTGGGGGACAGATCTGACGACGGCGGAGGTGCTGGCGGAGAACCGGTTGTAGGGGATGGGGAAGGGACTGGAGGTAAATCAACGGAACCAAGTTGTGGAGCGGGAGATGGCGAAATTTGAGGCGGATCTGAAGAAACAGAGAGAGTAAAGAGAAGTGTGAAAGCCAAAGAATAAATGAACCTGTCGGTAGCCATTGTTGTTGATGCTGCTTGTGTAGTATGAGAATCTGTTGAAGATTGAAAATGGCAAATCCGGCGACGAGAAGAGAGAAGAGGGAAGACGCGTAGATATGGAGAATCGAATTCTCTACAAAATTCTTAGCATTAACGTTGAGCGAAGATTGAGGTGGTATTTATGTGGGCTGGTGAGCTGGCATTTATGAGTTCTTGAACATCAGGTCAAATGAAGTAGTAATTGTATAGTGTGCTTTTTTTAGAGGGTAAATAGAAGTGATTATCAACTTATCTTATTTCAAACTGAAGTTTTATAAAAAAATGTTTGGATTAGTTTATAATGATACTTATACATAATAAATTGATAAGTTATTTTTTAGTGTTTAATAAGTTTTTTGCTCATATATATATATAAAAAGATCAAAAATGACATTCTTTCATACAGTGATGCAATTATGCTACATATTAATAAAAAACGTTGTGACACATATAAAGTGTATGCATAAGAATTAGATGAGCATGTATCATTGACGATCTAGATTTACAAGCAAGTGTTTTACATATTGAATCATAAGTACTTGTGCGTGCGTAGAAGAAAAAGACCAAAGACTCAGACTTTCGAAAAAGATTGAAGAACTGAACAGCAAGGTCGGAGCCGGAAGACGAGGGTTCGATGGATGAGAAGAATTGGGATGCAAAGTAATATATGATAGCAACCTTTTATGATTATGGTAAACATTGGCCAAAACCTTTTTGTTGTTGTGGTTGTCTTCCACCACCACACCACACCACCATAACCTTCCTCCACCGCTACCGACGGCGCCATCTTGTCTTCATAATCCGTCGATGCAATCTAACATATACGAGTAGGAATGGGAAGGTAAAAAGGTAATTTGGTTTGCAAAGCTGATAAATTGTTTCAAACAAGTTAGAAGAGAGTAACTCATCAAAAAAACTTCTAATTACCGGTGCCAAACCGAAATTCTTCATCCAAACAATAAAAACTTTTTATTACCTGTATCACACCAGAACGAGTTTATAAGCACTTTAAATAAGCAATCATAAACACTCTCCGAATCAATTAAATAGTAACGAAAAATAATCATTTTCAGAATCTACTACAAAATAATCAACTTCATTATGAGCTACTTATGTTTTGAGAAACAAAAAATTGAATAGCAATAAAACCAATCGGTCTCACATGGCACCTAGCCTCCAAGGAATCCGATACCAGTGGACTATTTAAGATTTACCAGACGTTAAGGAGCATAAGGGGCTCCGGACTCAAACCTGAGACCAACTGCTTTTTAAGCAAACATAATCTTGTAAGCTTCTTATTCTTTTCATGTATGGTTATGATTAACTGAAATGACTTTTTTCCATTGTTTATAGGTACCTATAAGTACATGGTCAGCCTTGACCATGTGTAGCCACGACAACGACGCAGAGCATCCCAACCAAAGGGCATCAACAGATAATCCAATCCACCACTGCCCTACGTTGATTTCGACCTGTGATTGTTGATTTCTTTGTTTCTCGCTCTCGATTCTTGATTTTAAGTTTCTTCCTTTTTCATACTTGATTTAAGGTTTTTTTTTCCTGCCTTTTCCAATTTGCTAATGTGCCTATTGGTTCTCATTGTTATTTTCTTTATATTTGTGGCTTGATTTGTTTGCTCACTGTTCATAATATTACCAGGCTTAATGACGCCCTCTAACTATTCGATGAAATGTCACAAATGCAACCTCTTTGATATTCTTTTTAGTTTAATATAAAATGTTGAAAAAATTGGTTACATAGTTTGATTCGATTTCCCAACCATGCTCTGAATTTTGACAATTCAGTGATAGACATTCAACCATTAAATCCCTAATCGATAGACATTCAATCATCGAATTCCTAATTGATTACAGACAACTATCAAACCCCAGTCGATGTGTTATATGTGATTAAGATGTGTTATTAAACACATACCTTTTATCTTCTTCCTCGGCTTCGAAATCGACTGTACGCTCTCCTTAACTCGGCCGGAACCTGTTACTTCCTCAGTTCCTTGTTTTCGGTTTACCTAATAGGCCTACTATCACTGTGATGTTGTGATAATCACACCACTGATGATGATTATCACTCTGAGGATGATCAGAATAATCATCATCGTGTTATTTCAATTTTAGTTACCAATTTTACCCTCCCACGCCTTTAGTTTTTTTTGAATTTTTTTAATATTTATTTAATTTTGAGAAATCCTTTAACTTATCTTAAAATTTGATTTATAACATAATGTATGGCCTAGAGACTGTTCTTGCATTCGTAAATCACAAGGTTCTCATTTGAACCATATTCTGTATGTATATACTAGAAAGATACTCGCACAATACAACGAGATACATCTCGATTTTAGTGTTTTTTTGTCTTAGTCGATGTTATAATATGGTTATGTGGTTTTTAAAAAACGATAATTTTGTTTTTGAATAAAATATAAATATGAATATATCATAAAAAATTAAAAAAAAATATTGATATTAATATCAGACTAACTATTTAAAATTTCTCGTTTTTTTGTGTATTTCTTTAATTCATTTTTTTATTTGGTTTGATAATATAATTTTTTATAAAGATAATAATTAAGTATTTTGTTAAAATTCAATAATTATCCTAATTATATTTTAATTTTTATATATTTAAAATGAGATGTTTATATTTTATTTGATTATGTTTATCTAAAGTTAGTTATACGAATTCAAACATGAAGCTTTAATAAGTTGTACTTACATATAATTACTTATAATCTTAAATTTTATGTAATATGCATCAATAAACAATACTTCATATATAAAAAATAATTTTTAAAAGTTCTTATAAAATGCTTAATAATATAATACAGATACATGCATATATATATATATATATATAGGATGAATAACGGGACTAACAGCCGGTCCAATCTAGGGTCCAAAAGGGATGAGAAGTTTTTTGAGTAGGCTTAAAATCATAACGCATCGCATGGCCGGGCCCACCACAAGAAAGCTTATGGGTTTCCTCATAGGCTAATCGCAAGATCGATCTCTGACGAACTAAGGGCAACTCCAACCTTGACGCTAAAAGAAACACCAAATAAGTGGGCCCGTTAACACCAAAAAAATACTCAACTCCAACCTTTTGCCGTCCACCTCTTCCACGGCAAATTTGCCGTTCATTTCCTTCCTCCGGCAAAATTTTGGTGTTTTTGGCGTGCGATTGGATCCAAAAGAACGGCAAAATTAGGGTTTTACCGTTCGATTGGAGTTGCTCTAAGAGGAACGGGTTTAAAATCATTTCAAATTACAGGTTAAATTTTGGGATCAAGGAAATGTGTAATGATATGCAAATTCGAGAGGGTCCGAGGGACACACACGTTGACGACAACGATGGAGTCCTGAAGGAGACGTTAGGATTCAACAATCGATCATCAATGATCAAGACAATTTATAGACTCTCCCTTCGATGACAATGTGTCATTTGTGTTGGATCAATCAATATAATAGGTTAGAGGCAACAATTAGGGGTCAACATAAACGCTTGAAAACTAGGCAAGTCCTGGATCTGGAACAAGACTCGTTACAAACTTACAATTAAAGAGTTATAAAAGATCACCCTCTATCAAATACGAGTTTTTTTAATTGGTCAGATAAAAGACCGAGTAGAACTAAAGAAATTAAAGCCCCATGTGATATTTACTCATTAGTCAAGTGGACGGTCTTGAAACTGGTTCAAATACTAGTTATCCCGGTGCTTTTTTTTAACCATGGGTCTTGGGGCTAGCTTACGCATACCTCAACTAATCCCAGGAGCCCCGGAGAACAACCAGAAAATCCTCGGTGGGCTTGCATAACTAGTACAAGTGACCTCTAACCAGAATCCCCAAGGACTCGAGCTTTATCGTCAGTTGAGTTAACCACCCAAGGTTTTAGGCTAAGGACCAGTTAAGGGAACGAAACAAGTTATACTTTAACCAGTCTACGACAATGGCATTTCTATAATAAATGGATGGTAGTATTGCCTAACTAACAATGACAACAATAGTATTTTCACAATTCTATAAATAGAGATTAGGATAAGTCAAGTATTATACTAGATTCTATTATATTTACAATCGAACCTGACTCTTGAAAGTAGGTAAACTTGTAATATTTTTTGAAGGTAATTTTGCTTCTTGTCAAACTTCAAGGAAAATGGACAAGCACTCAAAACTTTGTACTAATTACTGTTAGGACAAAGGCAATTTGGATTTCTCAATCAGAAACTAAAACAGGATGGCTGTAGGAGAATTCAAGAAATTGTGCATTAGAACTTAGAAGTCTGTTTCGAGTGACAAGAGAATGGCTTGTTAATGATGTGCCATGCAATGATAAAACTGCTTATGATGGTTGTCTGGTCACCTTAAACAAATTATAGAACCAGTTATATCGATATGAATCATAAGATGGCCCTCACTATGAATAGATTGGGCAGTGGCTGATCAACAGTGCATAAAGTGCACTTGAATCACGTTCCGTAATAAAAGATGAATCGTGTTGCAAAAGTGCATTGATCCTGTTCAAAGCACATAGAAAATGCTAGAACTGATAATTCATCGGCAGATGAATGCTCGGAATAAGGCTTGAAGCTTCTTAAATAAATTCAGAAAACTAAATACCAATAGTTTTAGCTAATGTCTCAAAATTCACTCGATGAACTGATAACATGATGGAAGCAAAACTCATGAAATGGATAGTAAACGAAAATAAAAAAAACTATATCATAAAACCAGAAAATTTCCTCACTTGAATCTGAACAGACTCTGCAATTAGTCCTGAGGAATCTCGACATCTCCATCAGCAATTTCCTGCTGCAAATCCTTCGGATCTTTTCCGTCGACAGTACAACCAACAGAAACACATGTTCCAAGGATCTCCTTGACAGTCCCTTGCAACTCCTTAGCCATCGACCTCGGACGCATAACCTTAGCGATCTCAATCACGTCATCGAGTGAAATGTTGCCACTGTGCTTAATGTTTTTCACCTTCTTCCGGTCACGCTCCGGCTCCTTCAAAGCTTTGATGACCAGAGCAGCAGCGGACGGGACAACGGATACCTTAGCCTGACGATTCTGAACAGTGAGCTTCACAGTGACTCTGAGACCCTTCCAGTCCTTTGCAGTTTCCTTGGCGATGTCTTCTCCGATCTTCTTCGGAGACAGACCGAGCGGTCCGATCTTAGGAGCGAGTGAACTCGCCGCACCGACCTCACCTCCAGTAACACGGACGTAAACGTCGACGACCTGCGATGGATCGAACTTCGGCGGCATCGTCAAAGATCAGAGGTAGAAGCAGGCTAGGGTTTTCGGAGAGCGAGGCGTAGATCGCTACCAGATTGAACAGATGAGGCATATCCTAGGGTTTAACAGACTGAAGGGCCTAATTGTCATTTTTGCCACAAAGCCCATTTAGCATTTGAGTACGGCCCATTACGGGTTATCAAACAATCAGGACCACATTATGCTTCATTGAGCTTAATAATAATATATAGCCTTTTGGGCTAACAACGTAACACACAACTATTTAAAATATTCATTAACAAGAAATAATAAAAATAATCTATACTATATTATAAAGCATTTGATAAAAACTCTTAAAAATTATTTTTATACATGAAGTATTGTTTATTGATGCATATTACTTAAAATTCAAGATTACAAGTAAATAATGCATAAGTACAACTTCAAAACTCCATACTTGAAATCGTGTAACTAACTACAGATAAACATAATCAAATAATGGATAAACATTTCATTTTAAATATAAAAATTTAAAATATAATTAGGATAATTATTGTCTTATAACATAATACTTAATTGTTATCTTTATAAAAAATTATATTATTAAATCAAAAATAAATTACTTTCTTATTAAACCTAAATTAAATTATAAAAAAAATTGAATTAAAGAAATTACACAACAAAACAAGAACTTTTAAATAGTTAATTTGATACTAATATCGATTTGTTTTTTTTTAATAATTGTAAGATATCATCAAATTTATATTCTATTTAAAAATAAAAACATTATCGTTTTTCTCAACACCAAATAAAACTATATTATAACATTGACAGGGAGACAGAATTAAACGAAACATTAAAATCGAGATGTATCTCGCTGTATTGCGCGAGTACCCTTCTAGTAGTAATAAATATTTCAATTTAAGGTAGTTTGTTAGCTATTTAATAAGTTTAATCACACTCACACTTAATCGATCAACTATTCATGACGATTTGGTAGTGGCTTAATGATATAGAAAATGACTTATTCAGTAAGCTTCTAGATATAAACTTTATGCAAAAAGTCAACTTTTTACCAATCATGTCATTCCCAATAAAAAAAATACGCTCTTTCATTCATAGAAAAACTCTCTCAAACAAAATAATTTATTAATTTATACAGACAGATTAATCGACAGAAACAACTTTATCCATACATGAGTTAGTGGAATACCAACCAAGCATCCCCTTAGTCAATTTGAAATTTCTGTAATTCCAATAATATTTACTCACAGGGGCGGATCCAACCCTTAAGGACTGTGGGGAAAGGCCCTCAGTCAAAGACCAAAAACGTTTGTTAACTATCTTAAATTTTTTATTTTCACCCTCGTTTTACATGGTCCCCCCCCCCCCCCATTTCTTGGATCCACCCCCAGTCCATATGGTCATATGCTTCCGTCCCAAAGTCCCATCCAACGTACCCCCATCCCCTTAATTTCCTGGATCCGCCACTGTTTACTCAGTTTGTAACAAACATAAATAAATACGAGGACTATTGAAAATAAAACTTGAATAACAAGCAAATTGTAACTTGATTACAAGATTACAAAAAAACCCGTAAACATTTGGGTAGCGTTTGAAATGCATATACGATTGGACAAGAATGAACATGACTAGACAGATAAGAGAATTTGATTGGAATCTGAAACAACGTTATTTTATTATTTTAAACATAAAAAAAAAATAACTCAAAAATAGGATGTAGGGTTGAGGATGAAGGAAGGGTCAATTTAGTGCCTAAAAGAAACTTAATGGTATTCACTTTCACGTACCCACATATTTCAAAAGTTGGTTTCAACTTGCAAGTTTCATAAAGAGACTACGTTTCAAGAATTTTATCAATTAAAATTAAATACGTTTTGCAATACATTTATGTGAAAAAGGGTCAATTTTGGATTATATAATATTACTCATTAATATGAATATATTTGTATGTTTGTTCAAACCGATTAAACGAATTAAAAGTCGTTTACAACAAAATCAAATGTTTAAATCTTTGTAATTTGCTTTTGCCAGATAAAATTGAACCATTCATGGTAATATATCTGATAATCGTTTTTATTGTTGGAACTTGATTTATATGTGAGAAGCCTTGTCTCATATAGAAGTTTGATAGAAACTATATCCGTTTAATAACGGTCAATCCTTGAGTTAGACATGGCAAAAAAAAAAAAAAAACTACACCCTACACGGAACCCGATACCAGACCCTGGTTTGATTGGGGAATGCCTGAGTGGGATACCCTTTATCTCCAACCCCGAGTGTTATTTATACATTCGGTGTGTGTATATATATATATATATATAGTTTGGCATTATATGTTGCTTAAACGTAAATTTGATATTTACATACATAATATATAAAAACATTATGTCAAAAATTAAATTAAATAGTATAAACGATGAAAGAGAGCCCCCTTCCCGGATGAGGATGGGGGTGAAATCTAATTCTTTGGTGGGGATGGGAATTAAAAAGCGAGGATAAGGATGGGGATTGTGATCCCTGATACCCCAACCCTGTTGCCATCTTTTTTTTGAAAATTAAATAAATCATTCAAGAGCTGGGAATTTTATAGGTTTCATATGGAAATGTTTTCGTTTGAACCTCATTGGGTTTCTCACTACATTATATATATATATATATTTATATATATATATATATATATATATATTAAAGATTTACACATAAATTTCAATTCTCTGTATTTTAATCAAGTGATTGATTACTCCTAACAATTAATATATCGATTTATATGAAATCAATAAACGTAGGCCAGATCCAATCCCATTTAACTCTGTTCAATTACTTCATAAATTTAAACGATTAAAATCAAAATTTAAATAAATTAAAACATTAATTTAATATCCTTGTTTCTTCAATATAAACTCTATGATCCACACATACTTACAATCATCTTTTTGGAGACCAAAAGCAAAAGAAGAAAATGAAGTAAGAAACAAACCCCACATCTTCTTTTTCTTTTAGAAAACAATTGAAACGAACCAACCACTGATCAAAGTTGTATGCATTATACAAACAAAAAGCAACCATTTGATACGTTTGTGATCGCACATTTTGTTATAGGATATGGTCATTAAATATTGTCAATTAATCTACCATAGATGTAACCGTATAATTTATTGTGATAGGTCATAAAACTCAACCGGTCAATTTTTGAAGCCTAAATAATATTATTGAAATTTATTTTGTATATAAATTTATAGTAATGTGAACACAGATGGACTGGATCAACAATAGTTAAAGGGTCCAAAAGAACTTTATACTTAAAGTCTTAATGGACTGGAGATCCTTCACTTTATCCTGATAATGTTGTTTTTAATTATATATTAAAAAGAAAAGGAATTAATGAAAAAATAATGCGATCCAATGCATCGAAAACAAAGAAGACTTTATGTAGGCACTTAAGAAGCATCATAATAAGGAATAAAAGCTACGCCACCACATTCTTAAACCCTCATTAGTCTACTTAACTTTTTTCCCATGTTACCACTTCATCATAATTTTAATACACTTATTTATATATATATATATATATAGATATATATACATGAAAGATCGTGTGAGAAATAAAGTTATGTAATGAAGAGATTTAAACTCTTAATTACTTTTAATCTCATATCCACCCATTAATTGTTCTTTGGAAGGGAATTGATCAGGTGTATCTCGGTGTATTTTATTAATGTTGACATTCAATATGATTGATCAAATAGTGAAGATTTTTTTCTTACGCTTCTCACTGGAACGCAACCCTATATATGTACACACACACACACGAAGGACTGTGTGAGAGTAAAAGTTAAGGTAAGAAATGATCAGGACCATTGATCACCTTTGATTTCAAACTCACTCAAGAATCGTGTTTGATATGGTGATTGATCCAACAGAAGAGATCTCTTCTTACGTTTCTCATCTTAACTCTCTTTCTCACCAGAACCTAATACATATTTAATCGTGAATGTGTATTCGTTACAGGAGAGAGGAAATATATATATATATATATATATATATATATATATATATATAAGAGAAGAGAAAATGTTTTTTAAATTAAATTAGATTTAATGTTACAACTTAACACATTAATTAATATATATTTGTTTTATAAAAAAAAAACCTCAATTCTAACTTTTGTAAAAATTAGAGTAAATTATGTTTTCGTCCCTACAGTTTGCTAAAAATTTATATTTTCGTTTTAGTGGTTTTGAAATTATGATTTTTCATCTCCATGGTTTACAGTTTCTTTATATTTTAGTCCCTCATACTTAAAACCATTAGTTAGCATCGTGAACGAAAATACAAATGAATTACAAATTATAAGGACGAAAATTGTAAATTTAAAAGCACAAGGATGAAATCCGCAATCTCTATCTAAATAATAATTTTTATTTAATATAATTTTGAGGTCACATTTATTAGATGGTCATTAAAATCAACAAGATGAATTCAAAATTGATGAAGTTCAATAATAAACTAACACACCGTTATTGCTTGGGAATTAAAATATTTTAAAATTAATATTTTGTTATTTTTTGTAAGTTAATATAATCGATATAAGAGGCTTCTTTTGAAATCTGTATAATTTAAGAGATTCGTTGTATGAAATATAAACCACTAATTTTAAGGTTTCCTCAGGCCGGACATAGATCAGCCCTCGAGTGTAAAGGCAGAAAGGAGCTTGACCGCAAGACCTGCACGTCGAGCAGGGGCGAAAGTCGGAGAGAGGCTCGGTGAAATAGACATGTATGTGAAGATGCGGACTACCTGCATCTGAAATGGATTCCTTGTCAAGTTAGTTTTGGGGGGGTGTGGACACACTTATATATTTAAAATCAAAAATTAATAATTTTGATGTATTTAAATTAGAATTTTATATAAAAATTAAATGGATATTTTGCAAATTTTCTTTTTCCTCTTAACGAACAACATAATCTAAAAAATAAAATTAAACCTAACAAATATAATAATACATTATGAACACCAAATAATCTAACGAGTATCAACAAATAACATATTGTGACCATCTTGTGAACATAACAACACAAAAAAAGA